GGCTGCTTTACCTTTCCTGCGTCTGTCGGAGATTCGCCGCTTTTTCACCGGCGAGAGTCACCGTTGCCTCGGGAAACAAGGAGATAACAAGAGGAAGAAATTGACCTCTTAATCTAAAATTGAGGTCAGCGATCAAAGTATAACACAGGAAGGGTTCACAAGGGTCGCGCGGGCATATTCCATTCAGCACGTCAGCCGGTCGTGGGCAGACGGTCGCCGAGTCGCGGAGTGCCTGCTAGGCCTAACTGCCCAGTTCGTTTGGTCGCGTTCAGTGGAATCGTCGCCGTTGGAGCTTTTCCCCGGTGTCTGTGGATCCAGCGTTCTTGTTCGTCGTGCTCTGTTTCAAGTAATTTTTACTTTTTTTTTGCTGCTTGAAGTCAGGACGCGTGAGAAGCTCACGTAGAAAAATAAACGTCCGTGGGTCGTCGCGACCGCGACGCTGTCGGCCATGCTGACTTGATCGTAAGAAGTGCGTAAGACAGCTTCGGAGCTGTCGTAGGATTTCGCCGTAACCTGCGCAAAGCTTACGAAAATTTCGTTTCGTGAATACGAATTTGTTCTTAAGTTTTGTCTTACGCACATTTTTGGCGTAAGATCGTTTCGTGAATCTGGCCTCTGCACTTCCGAAAGTCGCAGGAAACGTAAGACAGACGCAGACGACGTTGCGAGCAGACGACGTTGCAAAGGAGCAGACGACGCTCAGATAGGGGGGCGCGATCAGCCAATCAGGGCTCGGCGTTCTGACGTCACCGCTACCCCCTGCGCAAGGAGCAGACGAACTTGCCCTCCGCATAGTTATCTACTAATAGCGGTTTGTAGCCATTTGCAGCCAATCTATTCGGAAATAGGTGCTTATAGCCAATAATAGCCACTTGAAGCCATTCTCATTCATAAACACCCAGACAGCAGATAATTGCTATTATACTGACTAACAGCCATTAGTAGCCATTGAGCCAATCTGGTCAGAAATATATTCTAATCGCCAACAATAGCCACCTGACGTCATCCCAGTTTATAAACAGAAATAGCTCAGCTTTCATTACTCATTAATATTTGTAGCCATATCTATCAAATATATATAAAAGTGGAGGCTGATAGCCAATAATAGCCAGTTGAAACCATGTGCATTCACCAATGCCGAAATGGGTAATTGTCAATTATCTCATCAATAGCTATTGGCAGTAGGGGTGTCGCGAACTTTTGTCGAACCAGATTTTTTGGTCGAACTTTGGGGGTTCGACTGGGTCGAACCGGTTCGACGAACCTTCGAAACTTTTCACCAGATTCGACCGGTTCGACTTTGTGGACAGTGTGGCCAGACCTTAATGCAAGCATGTCTAGGTTTGGAGAATTTTTTTTTATGCAAAGGGTTATTTTATTTTGTGAACAACTGCAATTGAAAGAAACTAATTCTATTCACTGAAGAAGTCAATAACTTAAAGTTTAGTACTGTATTGACTAAAATAGCGGATCAGCGCTGCACTTAATTCATCCCTTAGCCATTACCATCCAACCCCAAGCCAACTGGCCAGCCTGTCGCGCATGCGCACATGAGTCGAACCTCAATACAAGGTTCGACGAACTTTCCATTAAAAGTTCGAAAAAGTCGAACCTGGTCGAACTCGAACCGCGGCCGGTTCGCGACACCCCTAATTGGCAGCCATTTAAGGTCAATCTGGTCAAAGAAGATGCTAATAGCCAACAAAAGCTACTTGAAGCCGTTCATAAGAGCAAGCACACAAAAGAATCACATAATTATCAATAACAATCCCTTCTAGTCACTTGGAGTCATTTCAGGTCGGTCTCATAAAAAATTGATGCCTATTGTCAATTATGGTCACTTGGAGCCAAGGGCATCTGATAATACATGTTTCGGTAGGAGGAAAACAAATAAATCAACAAGCTCAGATAAGGTTAATTACTATTTAGATTGTACAAAATTGGCTATTCAAATCCTGACAGGTCCATACAAGACACTGCATTTTGACATCAAAATACCAAGAGGTCCAATATCACGAGCTTATGCTGCCTATGCTCCATCAAAAAATGGGAATATTTATAGACTATCAATTTCTCTAGTGAGTCAGACCCACTTGATTCATTTCCGGAGAAAGTGGCGAGTTGTCCACTCCACACCGCCAGGATCGCTTTCTACTTCCGTCTCCCATTTTAGCCCGGAGTTTCCTGTATTATTCTCAACGGTATTTGGTGTCACACTGAAAAGATAGGTTTATTAATTTAAATTTATGCCAAAAAGTGGAACGGAGAAAAGTGCTGAAACCTGTACCTTTTCTTTAGCATCGGTGGACTGAAAATAGTTTATAAAATATAACTATGCAGTGTAAAAAAGTTTTACTTTTTGGGAATACTCTTTAGATGTTGGCGGATATAAATATGGCACATTTCAAAATCAATGTTTTTTTGCAGAAAATTTTTTTCTGGGTAGTGTCCCCCTTTTAACGAAAATTCAGCTGAACTCGTGAAGACTGTTCCCAAGCTCCACTTGTCCACCTCTAACCTCAGTTAACATTAATCTAACTATACTTATGGACTCTGGCCTAAGCCTCAGGAAGATAAATGATGGATTTTACATAAGATTAAACCTATGGACCCCAGCTACCTAATCAAGAGGATTTCTAGATGTTCTTGCTACATGCAAATATACAGGAACATGCGTATAGTGATTTTACAGTTTGAAGTGAATACAAAGTGAAAAGTTCCTTTGTACGAATAATTTTGAATTGAATAATTTCGAAGCAAACGGAATTGTTTGCGACCGTTAATACAGACATGGTAGGGAATCCTCGAGACTAGGGAACAAAAAGCAATTGGGTAGGCTGTACTTGGGACGCAGCAGCAGTGGGGTACACAAAACGTCTAGCGCGTGCTGCAGACGGTGTATGGGCACTAGGGTATAGAAATGACGTAACCAGATATACCAACTCACATTTATTCACGCATTACAAAGCTTACATGCTTAACTTATGTTACAGCTAGTAGGGTCTTGCGGTCTAATCATCGGTCTCGTCATGCCATCGTGCTCGCTCCCTATTTGTAGTGGGCCTGTTTGCCTTAAACTCCCGAGCTTGCACTCTCTGCGGAGATGGGCACGTTCTGCCATGGTTAAAGGCAGTGGGCGAGGATTGGCACCCCTCTCTCTTCCCGCCCAAGTCTCGTCACGCCATTTCTGAACCCTACGTGACAAACACAGAGGCGCCATAGCCGAGCAACTGCCAAATTTCTGCAACAAATTGCACACTTGTAAGCTTTACGACTCCTGATGAGCACCTGTTTAATTCGTTGGATTATACCTACTGTGGCAGAGTGAGCTCTCTCAAACGCAACCTCTCCTCCTCGGATCGACAAATGTATGCAGCGCATGAAGCTAAATTTAGCTTCGATTAGGTCACGTGTGGCACGACAACAACGCCGTCTGCGCACGTGACAAATGCATGATTGAGTAATGGCTTCCTTCCTCTGCAGAACGATACCAAAGTAAAGTGCACAGGTAGTATGGTTGCAAAGATATAAGCAATATTAGTTTTACTTGTTTTTGTTACATGCGGTTTTAGCAAGCGACCCCCTACTGGCCAAAATTAGAGTCAGTCCACGTCGAAAAAAAAAAAGAAAGAACCAACACGGCAAGGTTTGAAGGGTTCTCTACCATGATCGTTCACCTGCTTGTCTGCAAAATTACTCTTATTTAAATACAATCATGTCTAGGTAACATGGACACTTTAGTTGCCCAGAAAAATCGTCCATAATGTGAATCGTTCATAATAGTGAACCAAGGTCAATATCACAAATAATGAACAAGAAGCATGGCCATAAAAGACACTATTTACTTAGGGAAAAAATGCTGAGACTCATTTGCAGACACTTTGGTGTTAGCTATTAGAAACAGAATTTGTCATAGACTCAAGAAAGTAGATTTGTTACTCCTATTTTTATTGCTACTTGAGCTCCAGCTTTGGTAAGTGAACTATTCTCAATGAATACTAGTACATACTGTCTTTGCTAATACATATATTTTTTTTTTAATCTAAATTAACTTCGAATTTTTTTTAGCTAATTTGCAGCACTTCAAACTTCAAAAATACTTCAAAATGTTCAAAGTTACCGAAAAGCCCTATTCAATTCGAACTTTGAATCGAATATGGCATTATGCGCTCCAATATTCTAAAGTTTTGAACATTCACACAATTCTAGAAATATCCTTTCTTCTAACTCGACTTTAAAAAAAACTACAAATAATGAACACAGGTTGTCAGAATATTGCTGTCTAACATAAACCCTCCTATAATAGCCACAGTTTAATTTTGAAAACTTCACTGCAATGTAGATATCAACATTCACAAAGTTTGCATTTCTTTTTAAATATGGCAGGCACATGCATGCACCATCTCACATTGAAGGTGCACTTTTCCCCTAATCACGGCTGCCAAAGTGAGCTCCATGGGAATCACTTCTCCGCAGCGCATGGGTGCTAAGTAAGAAGCGCACTCAATGGGGCTAAACTGCCATGATCCGCACTTCGGAATATATATGAATATCGCGGTTCATCTCCAAGCAAATATCAAATTGCATATTACTCAATCTACTATTCAAAAATTTAAGCAATGCCCTTTCACAAAAAAAAAAAAAGGCTTTAATTAAGCAATTTCATAGAGGTTAGCAGAGTGCTCCAATAAGACGTAATTGTGTTGCGTGTGTGTTTAGCAGGAAGTTAGCCAGCCTCAGTGGGCGTCTGCCCGCTGCAGAAGAGAAATTTAGCCAGTGCAATAAGACTGCTAGCCTGGTGTCTTTAATGTGAACCACACAGTAGTGATCACACAACAAACACTCGCCGATACAATGCTTATTGAGATTGAAACAGAGAAGGGTGAAGACTGAATTTAAGATCCCTGTGTCTTGTAGCACGAGCATTCACTCCCCAGCTGAACATACTTGGCCAAAGTGACAAGCCAACTAATGCAAAAATGAGAATCAGCATCACTCACTTGATGTGCTTCTGACACCGTGTCCAACTTCTGGGCAACCTCCTGTTTGCTGTCTTCTACCGACACAAATCAGAGGATAAAAAACCACTTCAGTTTGCGGCAAAGGATCGTTTAATTTGATCGGTCATTCCATAACAATTTTCTAAACCACACGTGCATGCTCTGATCTATGTTCTGAACACAGTTACGGAAAGCCGCATTAACTATCTCGATTCTATGAGCACCATGTGGTACCAAATTAGGAATTAGAGTTCTTTGTATCATGCACAAGACCTCTTACAGGGCCTTGTGCATGTGTTGGGCTTATCGGGGTTAGGACTCATCTTGAGATGTCAACGTCAAAATTGAAACACGTTTCGGAATTGTCCCCAACTCTGAATGAATCCCACCATGTAAATAATAGCCCTTTTTCTTTTTTTGTCGGGGAAAGTTTATTTTGGACCATGTATCCGCAATTGAGACACTGAAAAAGAAATGTTTTTTGGGAGTTCAGTGTCTCCTTAAGAGGAGGGGAGGAAGAAGCTTGTCAGAGCAGTCTGATGCCCACCTTCAGGTAAAATGCACCTCCCAAGGCCGCTCCCAAGTCTCTGTCGCAGGTTGCTCTCCACTTGCTGGGCAGACCACGAAGGGATGTGGTTGATCAATGCCTTGTTCCGCAGGTTAAGGTCATTAGACACCAGGACCACACGGCTGCCTGGAAGGAGAGAAGGGGCAGTGCATGCCCACAGCTATCCCCGCTTGTTCATTTGCACTCAGAACCAGAATTCCAGAGGTACTCGAGATGCAAAGTTACCATATTTGAATAATGGTCAACTTGTTTTTTTTTCTGCAACTATCTTTTAACATAAAATGTGTTTTAAGCGGTATTTTCTGTGAGAAGATTGTCATAAACGAGCGCCAGACGTTAAGGTTATATATTAAGTTAAAATATAAAGTTTGAACATCTGGCGGGGCTTGAACCTAGGTCGTTGCAGTGGCAGTTGGATGCTATGGCCACTGAGCTACAGTGCAGCTGGTATGGATGGGTCAATGTTCCTGGCAAAGACGGCAGGTTTTGGATGAAAACAAAAATTTATGAGGTATGCTGTGCTGTGAAGCTACACTGAAAATACACATAAACTATGGGGTTAGAGAAGACGATATGGCAGACTGGAAAGAATACAAAATACATGTGAAAGTGCAGACTAATAACTGTTTATTTTTCGTTTATTATTCTACCTCCTCTATACCCGAGTTTCGAAAAATGAAGCTTTGCCTAATCATTCTAAGAGTTAAAGACTGGGTGATTATTGTCATCGCGGGCAGTTGTAGACACCGGTACTTTAGAAAATAAGGAAATGTCGAAGCTCTAGAAGACGAATATGTACCTGACAAATCGTGGAAATAAACCAGGATACTGAATGTTTTCGCTAGCATCTGTAGACATATAACCTTAATGGTGTGTGTGCCTACTCTTTGGGTACCCTGGAGCTGATGTCTGCACTAATATGCTGCGGGATCTTTTTAAGCAATCTTAATTTTTTGGGGTTCAATGCTAGAGGGCTCACTGATGCACGTGTCGTGCCTTCCTGAAGCCATGTGCAAAGCCTCCATAACTTCACGCCTGGTCCTGTCTCGTGATCAGGCACGTAGCCAGGGGGGGGGGGGGGGGGGGGGGGGGGGCCCATGGGGCCCCCCGCCCCCCCCCCTTAAAATCTTCCATTTTGCTGGGACCTTCTCTCCCCCCTCCCCCTCATACAGCATTTTGTCATGGGCGCCCCCCCCTCCCCCCCCCCCCGAAACAAAATCCTGGCTACGTGCCTGCTCGTGATCCATGATGGTGGTAGTTCCAAATAGAGCCTGCATCTTGCACAATGTGCTGCTAAGTTGCAAGGTGCTAGGAGCAGCCCGCACAAATATTTCTACTCCTTTAGTCCCTCGTATGGACACCTTCCCGTCTGTCTTATGTATTATTTTCCACACGTCAGTGGTATTTTGTATACTACTCCTTCAATACATTCAACGAACTTACATTTGTTTTTTACCCAACACGATGCTTGATCTTTTGTGCTGTTTTCTGGTTGGTTCGCCCTAATGCATAACCCTTTTAGGTCGAAAGGGCAGATAAGGACACACTGACTTTGTGCTTATCGATATAATCTTTTTCATCCTGTGCAAAAAATTATGGATGTATAGCAGCACCCCCAACTGGATTCTTGTCTACATTCTTGGTTTTACCTTTGCCTCTGAGTACTAATGCATTTTTCTGCCATAGCCAAAACTAGGCATTCAGGGTAACCGCTTGCTTGTAGTCGACTTACCTGTAATTGTAGGCCATCGGACACTCTGTGGGAACATGATTTTCTAATGGCTTGCCAGATGCATCCTGAGGCGATGCTCCTCTCCACAAACTGGGAGTGCCTGGAGTTGTGCGGCAGAATTTCTTTCTCCCCTCTCGTCTTATACATCCAGTGCGTGTGTCTGTCCCCAAATGTCGTGTTGATGTTTAAGAACTATATGCTGCCTCTCTATAGTGATTCAAATATGAATTCCAGTCCTCAGTGCATTTCTTTTAACTTCTCCACGACTTATCTGCGCACCGCACCATGTTTGTAACTCTGTTTGTCAGAAAACATACCAAAAAATCAACCACGATTTCTCAGGTACAAATTCATCTTCCAAAACTCCGGCATTTCACCATTTTCTAGAACACCGGTGTCTACAATTGCCCGCGATGACATTAATCATTCAGGCAAATCTCCTTATTTCAAAACTCGGGTATAGAGGAAAAGGGAGGAGCAGAAAATAAAGAGTTAGTTTGCACTTTCACGTGTATGTTGTGCTCTTTTCCGTCAACCATGTCATCTTCTGTAAACTTATAGTTTACCTACATGTTCAGTGTAGCTCTGCAGTGCAGCATACCTCATAATGTAAAACCAACTAGCCCAAAATCCAAGCATTGTTAGAAAATAAAAGATAAATACAACAATAATAAATAAACACTAAATAAAAAGAATAAATCAATACAAATAAAAATAAGCAAATAATAGATAAGCAAATAAAACCGAAATATAGAATAAATAATAAAAAACATACACATAAAAAATAAATAGAAAATAGAAAAATTTAATAAATAAAATGGAAAAAGTAAAATAAAAAAAAAAATATAATACAGGACGACACTCAAGACCGCCTACGTGTAGGAAGGCGAAAACATTATAGTCCCGCGGAAGAAATGTTTTCGAGTAATGTTTCTACACGTATTAATGTCTAAAATGACATATAGGGCGTCGAGGACAACGTCCTAGAGATCGATGCCAAGTGCGGCGTCTAGGACAACCTCTCGCAAGACGTCGTCAAGGATGGCATCTAAGACGACGTTGAGGATGATGTCAAGAACGGCGTCTAGAATGACTTTAAGGACAACCTCTAGGACGACCTTAAGGACATCTAGGACGACGTCGGGAACGACACCTAGAGAACGACGCCTAGAGGAGGACACCTAGGAGCTTCGGCTCATTTGTGCGGGTGGCCACGTTTGCCTGCGGAAGCCGCCGCAGATGTAGGCGCTGCTGCCAATGTCGAAGCCTTCGATGTAGACGCGGTCACCTCACAGTCCATCGCACGAAGTCCACAACGAGCACAGATGAAGTTTGAAGAGCATTTTTTTCACACGGCGCTTTAACGGTGACATCACGCTCCCGCACTTGAGCGTGAGTGGCACGTGCTTGATGAAATATTTTTATGGCCATCTTTCGGGCACAATGACGCTGCTTTTTTGTGTAATGTCACAAGTAAGGTCGTCCCAGAGGTCTAGGACAATCTCTAGGAGAACCTCAAGGATGACGCTAAGGACAACGTCATCCTTAAGCAATCAATTGAGCAGCATGCGGCACTCAATCATATTTTTATGGCCATATACACCGCTTTTTCGCTCAATAGGACAAGTAAGGCTCTCGCCATAAAAAATGAGATGCAAAAAATAGGAAAAAATATGTTAAGAATGAAAAATCTAGCATACACGACACAGAGGATGTGGTTAATGCAGGAGACATTCTGTGCTCCCTGGTCTTTGTCGGCAGGCTCAAGCCTGAATTAATTTTTTTCCTTTTCTTTTTTTTTAAATTAAGGGTTGATTTATGATTGTAACCAAAGAAAGTCGACCTACAGACCATTCCACCAGAGACTCTCTACGCAGTGCCATTTTGTTCGACTGCAACACCATCTACCGAGCGTTACAACGGATTTGGTGGGGTAAAAGAGGGAAAGGATATGCACCCGATTCCAACAGCAGACGACAAACTGGCCGCTTTCTATGAAATTCCGGGCAATTCCCGTGGGTTGTAGCTCCGAAAGTGCCCAAATGTCACACCTCCATTTCCCCCTCTCCTCTCACACCAACCAAGATGCTTTCCCATTTGAGCTTCTTCTTTGAGTCGAAAGACGGCGAAGCTTAACACACGTGCGCCGGTGCAAGAAGCGAAGCTTGACGTGAGCTGGGCAGCACAAGTGCCACAGCTTGGAGCCACACTTTCGAACATTCTGGAAGTCCAGACGATGTTGCAAGTGTGATGGACGAGCGAGTTAGCCACAATGATTAGCCATGCTGTGAAAGAAATCCTTGTTCGAACTTCTTCCTCTTTCACTTCTCCAGAATTCAGGGTCGACCTACATTCAAATATTGTTTTAATTTCTCTCGACGAGTTCCGCAGCCTAAGGGTCAACCTATGTGAAAGTAACTACAGCATGTGTTCTGCAGTGAAAGAATGTGTCCTCACAAATGACCTTCAATAGTACTCGAAACATCGCCATAGAAACCTACATTGCAGCGGTGAATGAAGTCGTGCAAGTTGTTGGAAATCCAGCTAAGGTACGGAGGCAGCTAGGCATGTCAAGAATTACTCAAGATGCGTGCTAAAATATATACGTAAATTTAGGATTTGTACAAGGTGTGGCGCTAGTTCAAGAAGTAGACTTGCACGCGAAATTCGTGCCACCGACATGCCAGTAACTTATGCGTAATGCAAGAAAATGCAAGGAGATGCAAGGAGATTCGTCGTGAATGTGATGTATACAAAACCCATTAACCTCCGGGAGCTCACAGCTTCGGATTAAAGCAGAGCTTCACTTTGGGCAACTTACCTGCCACCTGCACGAACTAGAAAAAGTAGTCACACTAAAAACAGACCTGAACCAAGAGTGGCAGCTACGTGCGTCCGCCGACTCTACCTTCTTAGCTTTTATCCTCGGTTTCATGCTTCTGTAACGTGTTGCGGACACCACAATCCCTTGGGTAAATCAGGTGACATGGACGCAGATTTTTAAACAAGCACAACAAGATTTTCTAGAAATCTTGGCGGCCGTTAGGGCTTGCACTTCTTGAATCATCATTTGTATCGGACACTCCAGGCAGGTAGTTTGACGCTCCAGACACGTGACTCTGCAGTGCACAAATTATTGGGCAGTGTCTCGATGCTACCAACACTAACTAGTTATCAGTCCCCGGTTACCCGTACCAATAGTAAAATACCGAGCTAGCACCTAGTATGTCACAATGAGCGACCACCTGCTACGTTTGAAACGTGCGAAAAATAAGCGATGTACATACCGAGTGCACCTAGCTGCACTCCCGCTGTAGCTGCTTCTCCAAGCGCGCCTTTGCATGGCGGAGAAGCTTGACGCGTGCACGCCGGTGCAAAGCGGCAAAGCCCACCACTTTGCACGTCTGCTTCTTCCGCATTTCTGCACACGGACCTAATAAGTGCCCATCTACCAGTTTTTAAAGATTATCTACAAACCTTGGGTGGGCTTTTGCACAGTATTTTAGGATAGGCTTTTTTTGTTGACCCAATAGCAAAAAAAAAACGCAAAATAAACATTCAGGATAAGCAATGAGCACGACTTGTTTCTAAAGCATGTAAAGAAAGCTACCTGCATGTGTCGTGACCGCTGATCGAGAGGAGTTTAGTTCCCTTGTTTCAGAGATTTTTGACAGCAATACCTAGAGTTGTGATTTCATCGTTGTGTTGAATATGTGTTATTGATCTGTCATTTTGAATGCGTGTATTTTTTGTGTTTTTTATGTTGTGCAAATCCACTCCTATCTTGGTCCCATGTAGGACCGATAGTGTTTCAAATAAAGCTTTTAAACAAAACCCTCTAATCAGAAAAAGTTGTTTGTCTGTCTGTGCATTTTCAGGCTAAATTTGGAGATGAAATTGATCTCACGTGACCCATAGGGCCATTCAGTTTCCGTGCTAAATTTAGCGGGGAAGCAAAAAAACATACAGGTCCTTCTTCGCTCTTGAAACGACCGTATAATGGCTTCCAAACGAACTGAAGTGAAATGTTCCATAAACACTGCATCCCCTGCATTATAAGACCTTAGAGACAAAGGTCTTTGCCATTATTTACCCTGTTCCTTGAGAGAGAGACAACAGTGAAGAAGGTGGTCGTCGTTGGTGTTCAAAATGTCGCCGGGCAGAACGTCATCTTTGGTCCTTGCCTAGAACAAAGAAAAAATAAAAAGCCTCAATTCAGCCACATGGAAAAACTTCAAAAGAAGCAAGGCACACATGGTGCCTAGGCCACGACCGACAAGTGCAGACCACTTCGTGGGTCGTTGCACCAAAATGCTATAAGCTGCCTTGTACAAGGAATATTGATGGCAAAACCTGTATAGTCAAACACCTGAAAAGGATGTGTCATCGGTGTCAACGTAGCACGTCCCAAATATAAATGTAGCTAAATGCACTAGGCTAGGTTTACAGTGCCGCCACTCCGTTCTATCGTGGGTGCCACCATTTTTGTGGAGCGGGTGAACTGACGATTGTTACGGTTAGACCTTTTGAGCTTTAGATGCGGTGTCAGGAACCTTGGTTGATAATGTCTTGCTTTGATGTGGATTGTTCAACCGTTTCTGGGGGACAGAATGCCGTTGAGTTTGGATAAAGCTTCAGATAGATGGCAATAATGATTTCAACTGCAAAGATGACCGAAGTGGTGGTACTCTGAAGCTTGCGATATTTAGTGGCTCCGGGCCAAAAAAAGCCTCGCAGGCGTCCCGGCCAGGGGTCCGGTGCACACGAACGAGGGATAAATAGAATTTCGCGTTCGTCTGCAGCATGCGTGGCACGTCCTGAGACCAGACGTTGCGCGACGTCACGGTTTTCTCGTACGTAGCAATCCTGCGTACGACAGTTTCATAGATATATCGAAATACTGTGATTATTTTGTTCGCCGTCAGAACCTTCGACCCGTGCCCCACTTGCCTCGGCAATGGTCTGGCCCCTGACCCTGGGATTCTTGGAAGCTAGGGCCTGGTAGATGAAGGAGATGGCGGCTGCGGCGTCTCGCCACACCTGGACAGGCGAGGAATCTCAACTCTGTAGTTTCTTTCGCAGAAGACAAATGCAGGACGGACAACGCACTAAACTAATAGTCGCACACCAAACTAAACTTTGCATTTTAATTAAAGGAAAACATTAAACAGTTGCGATAGACGGAATGTGAATGCAAGTGAAAACTTTTCTTTTAAGTATACACTAAGGTTTTATAATTAACAAAAAATTGGAAATCTGCATTTAATCTAGAGAAAAAAAAAAGACAATTTTCTAGCTATTGTAATTTAGAGAATTTCACAAAAGATTAACACTCAATTCATTTTCTAGCTTTTCGAAAACAGCAATTTACGAATGTCATAAAGCCTGGTTCAAAGCAAGGGGGACACTTCTAAAAATTTACTGTTTCATTTTTTTTTTTTTTGTTTTTTTTTGTTTAGTGCTTGAAAGGGGTGCTGAAATGAAATTCTAGCACCTATTTTATTGTCCAAATGCCAACCATGTTCTGGGCATACCCCGATTCCGACTTATTGCTCGAAAATACACCAGAACATAATTTAAAACGAATAAGCTGACTACTAGACTGCACCTAGTTGATGTCCCCAAAGCTACAAGGAACACTGTTACGTTCCTTCTTCCCATAAAAGCAGTGCCGTTCCGCAGAAGCATGGCGGCAAGCTGCGTGCACAAGAGCCCTGTCAAATTGGTTGAACCGGCTTTTCCTTCCCTCCCGCACCTGTTCAACACAAACGGAGAGTGGGGAGTTTGAAGTGGAGGTGAGTCATTTTCCGCCTCCGCTGGCATTGCCGAACCAGCGATCGGGCATCTCAAATGACCAGGTTGCATTGCATTGACATCACCAAGTGGCGAAGCTCACAACTACGCCAGTGTCTTTGTAGCCTTGGCCGTGAAGCAGGCACGTAGCCAAGAGGGGGGCCACAGGGCCCAGGACCCCCCCCCCGAAATCTTCCATTCTGCTGGGGCCTTCTCTCCCCCCTCCCCCTCATACAGCATTTTGTCATGGGCGAGCCCCCCCCCCTGAAACAAAATCCTGGCTACATGCCTGCGGTGTGAAGTTAGACGCGACGTCACAAACACGCTGAAGGCACCGGATCTCCCGAGACAGATTGCACTCTGCACTTTCTGACGGCTGCTCTTCAGCGCTCGCTGGAATCAACTTAACTAACAGAAGAGATGACCTAACTAACGGCATGTTACATGTTATACTTAATTTTCTTTGAGAACAAAGAGAAAATACATTGATATAGATGAATAAATGGGAAACAAATTTTAACCCCCCCCCCCCCCCCCCCCACACTCTCCGACTTGAATCGACCAGTCATTTTCTTCTCATTTTTCACAGAGCATAATGATGATGAAGGTGATAATGTAATAATGGGTTTTATTTCATGCATTTCAGCAAGCACATCTGTCCAGGACATGGTACAATAATGAACCGCAATTTGTACCTTTCCACTTGACATAACAATACGTGACCGACATCCATCCTAGGCTGAGAAGGTCAGAAACTTGCAACACTGCTGGCAGGACTTATGCAGGAAAGTATAAGCCCCATCTTGTTACATACCACCAAATTTGTTTAATATATGAATAGGCTAAAATTGGACTACAAATCAAGGTAAATATTTTTTTAATGCTGTCTCGTATTGTATTGTCTTGAATAATAAAAATAGTTTATATTTAGTCTGGGTTGAGTATGGTTACTTTAAATTATGGCTCGAAATTTTTTCTAGAAAACACAACTATAAAAAAAGTTTTACTAAATAAAGATTTTTTTACACACTTGCATTAAAAAAAATATGTTACTGATAAGGTGAGCTGGGTAAAACATATTGTAACATGGCGAGCAAAACAGAGACTATACTTTAAAATTAGGGGTGAAACTGTAATTATACCCAAAGAGGGCTGACATTGAATAGTGAGCAAAATTTCCTAGACCGTCCAGTCAACCGGGTTGCTCAACCGTTTCTCCCAACACCCCGGTACAAAGAAGTGAAGCTCAACGCGTGCGCACCAATGCGAAGCGATGAAGCTCGATGCCGGAGCATCGGTGCGAAGTCGTGAAGTTCGGTGTGAGAAATCGACCAATTCTGAAGACATCATTTGCAATTTCTGAAAACTTTGACTTCTTTGAAAAGAAAATGTATGCTGCAAATTCAATAACAAACACTACTTTCGAATTATTTGAAGTTTCGAATCTTCGCACACCTCTGGTATCTTGGCAATCAATCGATTGATCAGTCGAGCAATTGATCAGCGAGTTTATTTAGTTATCTACTGATCAACAATTTGCACAGACTCAAACCTACCGGGTCTCGCTTTCGGTTCTTGATGTTGTCCAGTTCCTGAATCACCACCCAGGGTATGCAAACGATCAGCTCCTCACTGCCTGCATGCATTCACAAGATGCACGTGTAAAGCAGGAGGTCTGGGATAAGCAACGAGAGAAACAAATTCAAAATCTTTCATTGGTCGCATACCTACGTTGGTGCTGGCAATCGTCCGAAGCAGATCCAAGTTGTGGATGAAGAGATTTGTATCAGTTACAAGATAAAGACCCTGGAAAACCGAGACAGATAGGTTACAAAACTGGCCATATGGGGAAACGCCGGTTTCCCAGATTTGGATTTCAAAGGTATAGGAAGTAATATTCTTTCAGATACTCAAAAAGCCTTTATTTGTGCAACCCTGATTTTTCGCGAATTGGGCAGTGGGGTCATATTCACGACCCTTAAATTTCACGATTTCTAGAGGATGGAAGGGTTTTACAGCATGCATCAAATGAAAATGAATGAAGGAAGAAATTCATTCCAAAAGGAAAGTATCTCCATCCTCATGGGGAGGGGAGAGGGAGGAAAATACGAAAATAAAGTGAATCCAAGAAAGTAACATATGCTTCCAGCTCAGCTTACCTTGTAGTCAATCAGGGGTGCTTGTTGGCTGATTGTTTGACTGATGACATCTGACAACTGTTGGAAAGAGCACTGTTTTAGCTGCTACTATAGGGTAGTGGGCTGAAAAGGGGACTTACATCTTCCATCTCCTCATCTTGAGTCTCACAGGGAAATGGAGCTTCTGAAGTTTGAAGAAATCTCTCCACTGAGCAAAAGGTAAGTGTGGCAAGGCACCAAAACTCATATTACACCAAAGCTGAAACAATGTCAAACTTAAGAATTTAACATAAATTTAAAGTGTCATGCAGTTTAATAGCTGACTACCATAGATCTTTTTTCTAAATTACCCATGCACCAAAGAGCATGCTGGGAATGTAGGTACATGCACTACACGGACTCACCATATCAGTACAAGAGGTTAGAAGTAAATATTCAAAATAAGGTATTGACAAATGCATTTATTTATTTATTTACAGGTACTACTAGCTTCTCTTGGAAAGCGTAAGATTGGGTTTCAAGGCCCGAAATATAGAATACAATAAACATTTTGTAACTGTAACAAACAATAATGCAGACAGTTACATTTGACGTACATAACTCACACTCCGCGTGAGGCAAAACCAACTAAGTGCAGCGCATCCAGCAATGAGAAAAAGACAGTGAGAAAGAGCCATTTGTTTTAAATTTTTCTTTTAAAACAGTGAGTGCTGCAAACAGCAGTATGTGCGGTGCGCATAACTATACTCATTGTATGCTCCATGGTGCTTCGGTAATTTAGCGAAAGCTCTAAAGGTATGTGGTCGTTAAAGCTACTTGGGGAGAGGAAAAACTGCACTTAGGAGCAAGATGGCAAAATCTAATGGAAATCAGACATAAAACCTGTAACTTCAGCAAACAAAACTGCAGGGGAGGAAAGCACAATGATGTGCATTTCTGTCCCTTAGGCATCTCTTTTCTGCCTTTCCAGTATTGCAAAAGGATTGGAGTACATTTCACAGGCTTGTTCCTGAGCAAAACTGCATGCCAATCAGCCAATGATATGAAAGTTTATAGGCAGCTTTCATTCCAGTAGAACACACACTATGGTAAACAGATATAGAAAAGTAAAAATATGAATACAAGGAAGCAAGGTTAAACTCGTGATACTACTAATGCGTGTACTTTTAGCTAAAAAAAAATCTGATTGGACAAGGGTTTTACTGCACTTACCAGTTTCTTTATCCATGAGGGTACCCCTAGGAGTTGGAGGGGCTTAAAACACCCGACATTTCACAAGAGGCTCTGCTGCGCTTCTTAGCCAGGAATTAACTGCTATTCCGAGTATGGGAGTTTTTCCACCAGAATCTACTCCTCAATTATTTCGCGCATTTTTTTTTTTTTTTTCTTGCAGAGATGCATTGTATGTTTTTATAGAAATGAACGTTAACTTACCACTCGCCGCATCTGGTGAGGCCAAGCGATTCTCACTGAACGTGGTGTAGGCGACGCCCGATGACGACCCTGGAAACGTCTTTTGCTCAGGGCTCGCTGACAGTGAGTGAAATTCCGAGCCTGCGCCTCTTTTGACAGCGCAAGGCGCTGAAGAAGACGCAGAGGCCTGACAGTACGGAAGCTGACCAAAGTTGCGTGTCTTTCTGAGATCCTCGGCGTCTTGGACAACTGTGCTCTGCGGAGGCAATTCAAAAGCCGCGCGGCGCCTAGCTTCGAGTGACGGCCGCGCGGGCAACTCGTATGGTCTGCTCCGGACATCGGTTTTGCTCAACGTCGTGGTGAGGTGCAGCGTCCTTTTCGATGCATCTCGCGGCCTGGCGCAATCTTCGCTTTCTTCGTCGTCAGAAAACGCCGCACTAGAGTGCGAAGAGGGCTTTGTAAACTCTTTCGCCCTGGAGAACACTTCGAACAACTTCCCGAGAAGCGCCTGCCCCAGGGTTTTTCGCGGCTTCTTCGCCGCAGTCCCATCGGTGCTTTTGGATGCCGGCTGCTCGAGTCGTTCGGCTGACCGACGGACGTAGACTTTGGGTGCCGATGTCGACGCTTTGAGGATGTGTCCCACCAAATCGTCGGGCGCGTCGGTCTGTTGATCGTTGCGTTTTAGTCTTCGTTTGGGAGATTTGACGACACGCGTTGAGTCCTTCGGTTTAGCTGGTTGAGGTTGCTGCCTTGAGGTTGACTGAGGTTCGGGGTCTTTGCCAGTCGCGAGGCTTTGCGAAGTTCTATCTTCGACAAGGCTGCTGTCTCGTCTTTTCCGACAGCGTTTCTTCCTTCCTGGGCTGTTCTCTTCCATCGCGGTTCGTCCGTCGACGGCCCGTGTCAGCTCTCGATGTTCAGAAACACATGAAAGATCATCACGGCATAGCACTCCCTTCCACCAGCTGAAGATTTAAAAATTTGAAGAACGCAGATTGACGCGGGGAGCGGACTCAGCGGAGACGATGGGAAGTCACGATTGGCTACGATCCAATCCAACTTCAAGTGGATTGGATAAGCCGGATCCACTCCTTACCAATTCCGGTGATTCCGGTTCCGGTGCACTTAAAGATGGACCCTTGGAGTCGTCGGCAGCAGCCGATCAAAGTGCCCAAACTGTCTTTAACCCAGCGTTACCCAAGGACAACAGTGTGTATCATCATTTTCGGAGGCGGGGCATTACTATTCAGCCGTTTTCTCTACGACTGCTTCTTCAGGGGCTTCGTCGAAGGACCAAGTATATATTCCAATTCTCGCGTTAGCCGAAACAGCTCGCATCGTGTGTTGAGCATCATCATATCGCAATGTTCATCGTGTTGGTGGTCAGAGTTAAATATTGTGTTAAAACTGACAGTACAAGCTATAGAAATTGGAGGTTGTATTTCAGCTTTCGTCCGCTCAAAACTTGGAGCTTGAACGTTCGTCAAACATGGTAAAAAAAAAAAAATGTCACCTTAAAAAAAAAGTAAAAAGAAAAATAATAAAAGAGCTGAAATGTTATTGATTTTGATACTCAAACTAATGTGCATGTACTTGTAATAGAATCAAACTTCAATGGGAGATTCCAACAGAAATTTGCATTAATCTAGAAAGTGAGACATCATTCCGCTCAATTTGCCGAAGTCTTGAGATCTTCCTAAAGTTGGCTTCACCTGCACTGAAAAGTACCATTTACCGGCAGCTTTTCCGCAGTGTTTCCAAGGGTACCGATGAGTTCAGTTGTGCACATAGGTGCCATTAGGTGCTCGCATGCTCATCAGTGCTCACAAGGTTTTATCACCCTAGTTGGCTTCACCCCAGTCATACATCTGCTTCTTTCCGCATATTGCAGCTTCTCTCTGGTGTTCCTCACAGCATCATTGAGCAAATGCCAAGTTGTGCACATTGGTGCTAGTAGGTGCCCCACTTGAATCTCATTAAGCTTGACCATGCTGTCAGTGTGAAGGGGTTTCCCCACTTCTAGGAGGCTGTAGGCAATGTTTAGTTCCTTCGCCATAAATACATGTGTGACGTTTTGGTTAAGAATGAAGAGAATTTGCGATTTTTTATCTGCTCGAAACTTAAACTTCAAGATTGGTTGTCGTCGAAGTTTTCAACCTACTTTTTCGTAAGTTGTGCTTGTGACTTCCACCTTACGGTTTACGACCATAACTAGCACGTTCAGTTGATATCTCAAAGGGGCACTAAATCACAAAGGTTATAAAGCACCGAAAAAACACGGACCGAGACACGAAGAAAACGAAGGCACAGGGCGCGCTCTCAGCCGAAGTTTATTAGAGAAAGTACACACTATAATTCCCAATGGGAACACACGGTCATCAATCAGTCCCTGCCCAGCTCACGTTTTAAATACTCATACTTATCCGCAGATAGGGCCAAAGATGTTTCGCTGATGCAGTTGTTTCCCCTAGCCCTAATCTCAAAAGCCTCATGTAGTTCGCGTGACACCTTGATTTTGTATTTGTATCGGCGCTTTATACCCTTTGCAATGTACCAACTGGCCCATCTAAGCACATTATTGCAGTTCATTACTAAACCACATTTCTTTGACAGTCTATTTATGGTCATGGCTTAACCTATGGGCTCTTAAGCATCCTAAAAAAAAAAAAAAAATACATTCATTGTGGCCGATTTCTGTATTAAAATCGGAATCAAGAATAGATCTCCTCAGAACTATCGCCAACACCAGATGGCACCCTCGAGCAAGGAGAAGCAGGGAAGGGCTTCTCTTCCGACGACGTTCTCTGGTGTCTGCAGTAGTTTCGAGGCAATCAATCTTTGATAACAATTTTAATAGAGAAATTGGCCACGCATTATCGTAATGTTCGGTTTTTTAGCATGCTGAGCGCCCATAGATTGAGTCATGACCATAAATAGACTATCGCAGAAAATGGTTTAGTGCCTCAATATTAGGGATGCCGCGAACTTTTTTCGAATCGAAGTTTCGATGATCGAATCAAGCGGTTCGAACGGTTCAAAATATTTCGACTTTTCGAATTTTCTACATCGTAAAATTCGCCGGAAGTCGAATTTTCGAACTTGTTGAGCTAAGAAGTTCGACGCTTTTCGAACCGTCGAACTTATTACGCTAAGAAATTCAATCTTTTTCGAACTTTCGAACTTATTGCGCTGCAAAGTTCAATGCTTGTCGAACTTCCGAACTTGACTGACCAAAAAATTCGATGAATTTCGAACTTTCAAACTTATTTATCAAGAAAATTAGAAAAGTTTCGAACTTTCGAATCCTGAAAAGTCAGAATTTCGACGAACTTCGAACTTTTAGGGTAAAAGTTCGACGCTCGTCGAAGTTCGAAAGACCAGCGGACAATTTCATTTGAATTCAAGTAGTGAGGTACATTCGTAGTTTTTTTTTTCTCTAACTTTTACACGCGGTGCTGCGTTCCTTACGAAAGACAATGCCGTTTGTTTTAATGTTTTGGCATGCTTAGTTTTAAAGAAATAAATTTCTGAAGGGGCGAGGAAGGACGACGGGTTTTTGATGATTATCGTTTGTGCCAGATTTGAAGCGCGCTGTAGCCGAAGCTATTTGTGGTAGAGATGCTATACGTTTTTAAGGATGATCTATGTATAGCCTAGGTAAGCGCCGTCTTAAGATGTGATTATTGTTATTCAACGTGAGTTTCGAAGAAATGTCCAAACATGTATCTACATGCAATTATGCCCTAAACTTGATATTTATTTTCGTCTAAGTTGTTTGAGGTATCGCATTTAAGTTAAAACCACAGACAGTACATATCATTGCCATCTGCAGAATACAAAATAATGTATTTATTGTTTTTTCACGTTAAGGAATAAATTAACTCATGGGAGAAGATTTCTAATAGTGTTCAAGTTCAGCACGTCATTAAAATAAAACTTTTTTTTTTTTCGCTTCACGATCTTGGGATGTGTTTCTTTTAGCCTGTACACATTTTGGTAAAAGAAACTTGTTTCGAAGTTCTGAACCTCTGAATACGCAAGAATACAGCACTTCTGGCGAATTCTTGATAGTTTTTTTTTTTTCCAGCTTTTTATTTTCGCATATTTTATTTATTTATTTTTTTTTTTTTTTTACTATTGGCATGGGTATTTAGGTCGAAAAGACATAGCTTTGAACTTCCGAACCACTAAGCATGTGATGAGTAGTGCCTTCTGACAACGAGCTTCTAGCAATGACCATCTACGCAATCTTTTATGCAGTGAAGAGCTACAGTAGCTGTACATATGCATAAATAATTTCAGATTAAAATAAGCTCGACCACGCCCCCTTTCCCCGTATTGTTTTCTTTAACAGTCCGAAATATCTGGAAGGGGGGAAGGAAACTAAAGCCCCCCTCGCTATACCCTCTTACCCCCCGTTTTTCCTCTTCCGACGCCACTTGTATGGTAGGACGCTTCTCGACCTCGAGTTGTGTCGGCTTTTTGCTAGGCGATTCCTCCGTCCCAGAAAATAAACCTCCAGGACAATTACAAACTTAACTTACTATATGCCAGCGTCACTCGGGCGGCGCTCGATCGGATTGCTATCAGCGTGCAAGGGGTGGCGAGGTAGTTTGCCAGGTCGCTTCAAGTTTTTTCTGAGCCTCAACCTCCTGCTCGTCCCTGGCCGTTTCGAACTGGATGAGTCTCGTAAAACAGTGTGTTCGTGTGATCACTACTGCGTGATGCAGGTTAAAGACCCCCCCCCCCCCCCCCCACCCCGGGCTGGCGGTCACAATTACTGATCCATGGTCACACGTCACTCTGCACTGGCAAATATTCCAGCACAACCGGGACATTCTTCGTTTCATTTAATTGCCTGACCAACTTCGCAGAATCTAGATATCACACCCTAACTTTTCTAAACTTGATTTTGTGAAAACTGGCGAGTCGTGAAAACGTTATTTGAAACAAACTGTGGAGGAACTTGAAAACCGGACTTCGAACTTTGAAAACTTGGACTAGAAAAAAAATTCAAAATCTTCGAAGTTTTTTTCTTTCGAATTTAGCATTAAATGAGAATCGAAACCTTCAAACTTTTCGAACTTTATGCAGAAAGAAATTCAAATCCTTAGAATTGTTCGAACTTCATGTCTATAAAAATTTGAAGCGTTCGAAATTGTCGAATTTTGTTTCCAAAGAATTTCGAAATCTTCGAATTTATCGAACCTGAAGTAAAAAAATATTTGAAATATTCGAATCCGAAATTTTAGAAACCGTGAAAGCTTCGAAATTTTAGAAACCGTGAGAGCTTCGAAATTTTCGAATTCGAAACTGCACTGTGATCGAAAGTTGCGAATTTTTCGAATTCGAACTTCGGTCGGTACGAAAATATCGAAATTTTTCAAAATCGAACTTCAGTTCGCTTCGCAAATACCGAAACCTTTCGAAATCGAACTTGGGGCGGTTCACGACATCCCTACTCAATATAAATGGCTGCGTGCTTGTTCTTCGCTGCTTGGACAGAGGTTTGCAATTAAGGGTGTGTTCTAGCAACACCAAAATAAGCAACTCCTGCTTTTTCTGGGAAACTTGAGCGAAACTAAAGTATGGGGTGTCTCAATAGCGGCCAGGCTCTTCAAATCAACCGCAAAAATCGGTTTCTTAACCTATCGTGCTACGATTTTGTGCAGCGTTGACCACAGATGGTGCATTTTTTCAATAAAATTTGTAAAGAACGAACTTATGTGAGGAAAAAGTAAAAAAAGAAAAAGGCTTAACTCCTATAGAAACTTGGCGAAGCCACCGGTCTTCAAATAATAGTGCGCCGTTTGGCAGGGGAGACAAGATATAGCACAAGCAGTTGCAATGTCAAATAGCAGACAATATTTTTGACTCAAAAGTGGTCCGAGCTTTTTCGGTGTCAGTTGCCAAATGTATGATTTTATCATCGTTACTAATAAAAGACATTGAATGGACACATAATTGATTAAAAATATGGTTTGTCGACTTATTTTGACTGTTTTTTCCGGGGTACTCATGTAGTCTGCTTTGCAGTTCCTTGTTGCTACAATGCTACTGCGCCGCTTTTTTGGTTCTGCGACTGTCGCCGCCGGCAGAACGCGCGCCGCTTTTGAGTCGAAAAGATTGTCTGCTAAGAACACCGGCTCTCGGCGCCAATGTTATTAACCCTCTCTTGCCTCCCGTGCCAAACGGCGTCCTATTGTTTGAGGATCGGTGACTTCGCTAAGTTCTGCATAGGAGTAGAGCCTTTTTCTTTTTTACTTTTTCCTCGGGTAAGTTTGCTCTTTGCAAATTTTAGAGAAAGAATGCACCACCTGTGGGTAATGCTGCACAACATCGTAGCACTGTCAATTAAGAAACTGACTTTTGCGCCCGATTTGAAGAGCCTGGCCGCTATTTGAGACACCCTGTATAATTAAGATCACTAATAGAATTGGGGAAGGAGATCCCCCTCAGTTGTCCTGCCTCTAGCACGTGCTTGCTGCCTTGAATAACGCTTTGGCGTCACATGATTGTGCACGCGCTGGAGAGGCCGATCACAGGAAAGGTACGCTCTACCATTCTCATCTTGTGAACGATAATAGAAGGGCCACTTCTCGTGGGTTTGTGTTTTGCTGGCCCCCTCCCCAAGATAATGGAAACCAACATGGGATGTTCATTGACGACCTAACATCTTTCTTGCCCTCCCTCAGGACCAAAGATGGAGGTGGACATTAAGATGCTGATCGAGACTGTGAAGAACCGCGACCCCAGCCAGAAGGTGGAGCACAAGAAATGGAGAGAGATAGTTGCAGAACAGGACCTCATTCGCGCAGAACGTCGAAAGCTCCAGGAAGAGGCGGCGGCGGCTCGACGAAGTGCACAGGAGTAGTCGTCGACAACCCACTAGCCGCGTCATCACCACCCAATGGCATCTTTGGTTGCGAAATAAGCGGACTTCCGACGGTGGACGACATGAAGGTGTCATTGCCATGTACTGTTCCACATCAGTTAGTGTCTATTTTTGTGTTTGTTGCGTGATTTTGTTAGAGAAAGCAGCGATATAAATGAGAGCATGGTGGCTCACGTAATCAGCAAATGACGTGGCTGTGTCTGGCTTGAAATATAACTGAAAGGGAACAATTTGGCGTGAAGCTGAAGAGGAACAGTTTGGCAAATATAATATAACTGCTGCTAGCTGATGGTCTAAGAATAAATTGCAGTAGTCGACTTCCGTTAATTCGACCTTGACGGGACACGCGAAGATAGGTCGAATTGTCCGAAAATCTACATTAAAGATGTGTGAGAAATTCTAAATATCCAGTGCTTTAGGTCAGGCGATTAGATGTAATCACTAGTGCTCAGTATACACTGTAAAACATTTCGTGTAAACACGACACTGGCATTTTTTTTGTATTTTACTTCGAAAGGATATTGGCAGGCACCAATGTTTACCGCTTAGATTAGTTTAATAATATTAGTTTTGATGACAGCCTTTCAATTTTAGGAAAAAAAAAAAAAGTAGTGATTGCTTGTTTGTACTATTACAGTCGACTCGCGTTCATTCAACCTCGGTTAATTCGGCTCCTCGTTTAATTTGACCCTGTACAACACCGATTCATACTGAGACCAGGAGGAACAAAAATTTAACTATTTCCTTCTGAACTGCCGCGTGTTAGTGTGCTCAGCCACCAAACACCCTAAAACTAGCAAAGGCATACATTCTCAAAAGATGCTGATGGAATAGATCCCACAACAGTGATCTTTTAGGCAAAGAGGGGAAAAGAAAAAAAGACAGTATCCTACAAAGAATTTAGAACATAGCTTTCTTTTATTTGTCTCAAAAATCTCAAAACTTGGGAAAAAAATTTTTTTTTCATCATGTTTCACATGTTTTTTGAAAGCTCGAAGAGAAGCAGCATAGTCATTACATATCATAAATTGTTTTATCTTATAAAAATATAAATCCGCCTATGCGAACAGATGTTGCACCAACACAAAAACATCAAACAAACTAGGAATACTGTCAAGACCAGTTATAATGAAGTCAATGGGAATCGGAAATCGCTTCGCTATTTCGTTATAACCGACTTCGATTAAAGAAGTGCAAAAGGGAATGGGAAATCATGATCACTTCGCTGTAGCTGCTTCGCTATTTCGTTATAACCGACTTCGATAAAAGAAGTGCAAAAGGGAATGGGAAATCATGATCGCTTCGCTGTAGCCGCTATTTCGTTATAACCGACTTTGTTATGGCCGGTCCCGACAGTAACCCTTAATGAGTACAAGAACTCTCTCATATATATATTTAAAAAAATCCTAGACACGCTTTAACGAGAGGAGGTGATGCGTATGTACAATTGTTGGTTTGAATAGAAAAAAAGAAATACATACAGGCTCCCATCTGCACAGAGCAGCAGCAAAATCAGTGCATCCAAATACTTGGTGCCTACACTGTGCAATCACAAATACAAATTCCAGATTGCAAGGTGCGTGACACGGGCAAACTCGACTGGTTACACATGGCCAGCTGCCTCACCGTCTCTCACTCAAGGGACACAAGATTAGTCAGCGTTTCCAAAGTGTGCAAACACTACTGGCGAGCAGATCAAACTAGAGGGGGCGCTCTGACCCGTTTGTTGTCCCAACACCTGTGTTTACCCAAAACAAGGCCTGTGTACATACCCAAAGGCCTAGTGAGCATGTTCATATTACACAGTGTAATGTAAAAATACTAACACTAAACAAAGTGACGTAAAGTGCCGGACCTGTCCCGAAAGCAGTCGTCAGAGAATGCGAGCTTGACCCACTTCGGCTTTTGTGCTGAGCTGGGCACCGTGCATGCTGCATTGTTCATGCAGGCTGGAGTGGTAACAAAAGAGCCCCTCCTTCCCCTCACCTGAGAATGCGAACTCCAGCCAAACACTGACGCCGCGTTCGGTTATGTCAGCCGAGCGCCGAGTCACTGTATTTGTTGTCCCGATCTAAGTAGCTCTAAAGTTAACCGCTCGGGGCGCCACGGTCTGATCTCCTCCCCAATAGTCCGTTGCAATATGAGGCCTGCAGCAGAATATCCGCATCCAACGCAAGCTTTCAACCTTCGATAACAGAGCACAACTGAAGGCAACATGCATTTGCCAGAGGTAGAGCTTTTCCTGCGAATCTTATGTTGGAACAGACTGCAGTTAGTGTGACAAAGATGGCCGACTTGGGAGACTAGGGGACACTGCAATCTCTCTCTATGATCTTGTACAACATCCTAGTTTCATATTTTATTAGTAAAAAAACCTTTCTCACAACTGCTGAGTTTTGAAAAGAAGTTTGTGAAAATCTTTCTTTTTCTGTTTTGTTTTGCCAAAAACGGCAAAGATTGTTTGGGACAAAGGATAATCAAAGGCAGTAAGGCTTGCTCGAGAGCCTTACAAAGACCAAACTAAGTTATCTGCACATTTATTTAGCACAAACATCAGCTTTTAACTGCATGTGGAGACAAATTGTTTACTTTGTTAACATTAATGGACAAATCTGACTTTATAAGAACTGATAATCGCACTCAGACACACAAAAAGGAACATAAAATGAAACAGCAAATATGAGTGCTTTTGTACACACCACAGAATTTATCTTTAAAAAAAAGGGGGGGGGGGGGGGGGGGGGCAAGGCACTGAAGCAAATGTCTCAACTGCATGAGTCATTTCGTATTCAACAACAAAACGGAAACAAAGCAGTGGCATCTCCCAAGCTAGATCAGGTGAAGCACATGTCACCTAAGATGAGCTACGCTCTACACCATTTAAATCATTCTTACACAGCACTCAGGCCACCCACTCTTGAATACACCACAAACACGCTCTTACAAAAAAAAAAAAAAAAAAAGTTAAGCTGTCTTTAGCACTAGCCACTCGTTCAATCTCGTCCTCTTGGCCGAAACACTTCCCCGTTAGGTTCAGACTTTGAACATGTCTCAACGTCACTGTTGTAGAAGAGTGAGATTGGTGGTTTGCAGCATACGTTGAACAGCTATGTCCGCACTCATACGAAGTCTCGGATGAGCTGTGGCCCAACTCGTATAACATTGTCCACATTGTTTTATACTAGCTATAGTGCAGTACGTCTGCGTACATACAAAGTCTCGGAAGAGCTGTGGCCCAACTCGTATAACATTGTCCTCATTGTTTTTATACTAGCTATAGTGAACTATTCACACCCTCACCCCCTCACCCCCATATAAATCCAAAGATTCCTACTTAGCATTCAAGGTCACATACTTTTCCTAACGCAGCAATAAGCAGCTGAACTGGAGCAGGGCAAACAGTCGTGTCTGGACCCCCACAAACACTAGCAGAAGTCCAATCTTGCAATTCCAGGTCGAACATTCGCTTAGAAATGAGAACCGAGTCACCGCTACACGACGAGGCACTCCAGTTCCGCTTGAGCACACCGTTGCAAACACGCCGACGGAAGACTTCGCCTCGGCTCGAGCACAGCCGTCACACTGCACGATCCTTCCTGGAGTCGACACAATCCTTCCCGGAGTTGACTTGATCCATCCCGGAACTGACGAAGCGGAGTCAAAAGACGCGGTCGTGGTACTGCCCGTCGGTGCTGGAGGTCTTGGCATGGTGGGGGCCCTGCGGTGCCCCCGGGTGTGGCTGCTGCTGCATGACCCTCCTCCGGGGCGGTGCCAGGTACTCAAACATGGACTGGGTGTGCTGGGAGAGCATCTTGGCCAGGTCACACGGCATGGGGTCCGTCCAAAAGAAGTCGTGGTTGAGGGCGTTGTCACTGTCGTACCGTTTGGTCGGGTCCAGGTGCAGCAGCCGGTCCAGCAGGTCAAGGGCGTATGGGTCCTTCACATAGGCCTGCATGGACGGGCAACACCAAATACTTATAAACTAGGAATGGGCAGAAGGAATGCAAATTCTGGGAGCTTCAAAATGCGTTGTGAAAAGACAGAAGGCTAGAATGTAACTAGGATTCTCTGTCATCGGAGTTGATTTCCCATGAAATTCGGAGGGTGTTTTTCGGTGTTTATTTTTTGCTGAAAATTCTGGGTTTATCGGGGTTTATTTTTGTTAGATTCCAAATTCTTTGAAATGCAGAGTTTATTTTACTGTGTACGTATAGTTTAAAAATTCAAAAATAAAACAAATAAAGTTTGGGTACCGTGACCTGTTGTCTTCAAGGAACTTTGACATACTAAAAAAAAAAGACAACCCCTTTTGTCACAAGTTCTAGATTTTAAAAGAAACTGAAGTGGAATATCCTCAGGATCACTGACCCTGTGCTCTTATGAAATGTATTTGTAAAACCGTCTTTTTTGCTATTTTGTTATCCAACCTCGAAACTCAGTTTTTCAGGTAAATCTGAATTGACAGAAAATGCAATGGGGAGTGTTTTTCAGATTTTTTCGAGCTTATCCAAAAACATTGAACCCTAAATATCACAAAATTCTTCATCACTCAATGTATGGAGATAGCAATGAAGAGCATAAGCCCCTTATGGTTAGTGTATTTGGACATTGAGCGAGCATACGACAATGTGAACCAGAAAAAACTCTGGGACCGGCTGAAGGGGTATGACTTGGATGAAAATCTGATTAGGTTTTTTCAACAAGGGCACACAGACAATAAGGTAGTTATAACATGGAAAACAGAAACTATGCCACCAGCAGCAATAAAAAGAGGGCTCAGAAGGGTCTGCCCACTGTCACCCCTGTTCCTCATCATATAACCAAGTGGAAGGGAAGTCATATGGAAGAAGGGAAAAATGTATTACAAGTAATCCCAGTACTGCAGACAATATAGTACTCGTGGCAGATAACCACGACACATTTCAGGTACTACTGGTAACTAGAATATCTACAGAGGAAGGGGACGGCTTGGGCCTCAGTTCAGTAGCGACAAGTCTACAGCAATGGTGTTCAACAACGAAAAGATGGAACCTCTGTAAATACAAGAGAGTAAAATAAACAATGCAGAAAAATGCAAATATCTAGGAGTATGGCTCAATGAGGGAAGGAAATGTAACTAGAAAAGGGAAAAAAAAATTCAGCTATTTTGAAACTCGAGGTTCTATGGAATTATAGGAATAAAATAGAAATGAAGGGGTCAGGAGTATATGGAAAGGGGTACTGTGCATGAGATGAAAGGTTCAATCAGGATTGGAAATTCGACGAAGGAGCATGGGCAGGTTAGCACTGGCAGCACATGGGAACAAACTAAATGGGGAGTGCAGGGGGACATGGGCTGGTCGTTCTTTGAGAGCAGAGAGGTAATTAGTAAATCGAAATTTGAAGAAAGTTTAACTGAAATGGATGATACCCGTGGGCACGAAAAGCATACAAGCACCTATACATGAAGTTTGAAAACAAAATGGGGAAAACCAAACCCCCAAGCTGACAAATAAATACCTATGCATTACTGATGGGACTGAGCAGACTAGTTCAGTGAAAGAGGGAGTGAAAGAAGCAGAAAGGAAAATGTGGGAGGAAAGAATGCAAGAAAAAATCAGCTTTAACAATGTACACGTTACAAAAACAGGACATAAGAAAGGAAAAGGTGTTTGATAATTCATGTGGAAGTTTGTTTTTCTCCTCGAGACTAGAACAGGGGTGTAGAGGACAGGGAAGTACTATCGAGCTAAATTTCAAGAGATATATAGACGCATTATGTGCCGTGTGCTATAGTGAGAGTGAGACACTAAAACATTAGGTTTCGAAGTGCACTGGGCTTCGCCCTGCCCTCCCTGAGGGGGTAACCAATCTGGTGGGGGCGCTGGGTTTTGCTGGCAAGGATGTAAGAATGGAGGAGAAAAGAATTACAGTCACAAAAAGGAGGTTAGAAGATTGGTTGAAACTATCCAGGGAAAGTTGAATGAAGTAGAACTAACTTTCGTTTGACAGGCCAGATGTCTCGAGTGCGAGTATATTCCAGGAGAGGTCTGCCATCTTTTTGGGGTCTTTTTAGGGAAACTGTCGTGCTTCGCCATTTCTGGAATTCTAGTTTTATTACGGCCTACATTGCACAATGACCTATGAGGCCATCGCTCCATTTCCAAATGCCGTGGATGAGAACGAAGTATTGTGAGCTCACGAGAGTGTATTACGTTCCCCAAATATCTAACAGCCTACCGGAATCCTTTCAATCCATAGCTTTGAGGCAAAAGCTCAGGAAAGCATTACGGAATTTAAAGCTGTAAAATAAAACTTCTTTTTTTTATTTTTTTTTTTAGCTTTACAAATTTTGTGATCTCAAGAACGTGTAAATTTTGAAAGTCAAATAACTCTTTCCACTTTTTTGGAACATACCTTACTACAATCTGTTTTTCTTTTGTATCGCCACCTGCCGAGTCAGGTCTGCACGCCCTTGACGCTTTCACCGGCTTGCTATTGTACATTGAGAAATGTATTTTCTTCAAATAAAATTATGTTCTATGTTCTAACTAAGGCGGGAAAGAGGAAAATTGGGATCCCCTTTTGGCATGGCTTTGGCCCAATATCTCAACACTGTTTCCAAGCAGGCCCGGCGTTGGGGTAGCGCCGACTAGGTTTGACCAGAGGAAAATTGGCGACTCGCTTCAAGGAGTGGAAGAAGGCGGAGGGTGATGTTTTTAGTTATTTTCCCCGATCCCCCAAAGGTCATCCTGGCGATATAACATGGTGCAGCTGTACCAACGAAGACTAAGAGAAGGAACAAACAACAAAGGGCAGTGCCCGTCCTGTGTTGTGCGTTTCTTGCCTTAGTCTTCATTGTTACGTGCTGTTACACCTACACTATGTTAAACTTCCACCAACTAATCCAGCTCTTTACTTTGTTACTGGTGATGCACCACACTGCCAGGTGATACTCACAAAAATGCAGAAGGGAAGCAAATTGGCTTAAAAGGGTAAGGGGGGGAATAATACTTTTGATTTTTAGGCTAGGTGGTGCAAGCTAACACCCATTACAAAAAGGGCAACCATTAGCATCCATCCATTTCGAAAGGGCAAAGCAAAAAATGGTAAATTATCTTTGTAGCTTTTAGGCCAGGTGGCACAAGCTACCACCCGTTATAAAGGGTACAGACGTTAACATCAATTCCTTCATTCATCCCTCCATCCATCCAGCATTTATATGGCCAACCTTTAGTGCTTTCGCGTTCGAGCCCGTCACATAGCCTCGACAAAGATATGGTGGAACGCGCCGTCGACTCGTTTGTGCACCGTCCTATTCCGTGCACACGTCTAAAGTGGCCTCGAAGAGGCAACAAAATCACATCGCGAGAGCCGGCGTGTCGCGCCATCGAATGCTGCAAACCCAATGGTCGGACGTAGAAACGCAGGCGAAAAAGGAGACCGGCTCAAGGGCCGCCGTTGTCGCGGCGTCCAAACTTGAGTGCACTTTGGTTACGGCCAACTGTTTGGCTGTCGAGCGGCCTGCAGCAGAAGGGCATCTGCCGCATACACCTCCGCCGCCACGCTGCCACCAGGATCGCGACGGGCATCAACACAACACTTTTGTGTTGTTGTGGGACGGAAATCGAGGGACCACTTTTGAGGACTCTGTAGACCCACCAGTCCGTGCAGTCGCCAATTTATCTCGGAGCAGGGAGTTTCTTCTGCAATCCCTAGGTGGTAGCAAAGCTGACTGCACATACTACCATACTTGCCAAGTTCGGAGAAATCAAATCCAGGAGAATGGGGGGGACATTACTATTATTTTTTTTTTTTAGTTTGACAAGAAACCCCGTGAAGAAGTACTCTGCGCAAATCACACTGCCTTCGCAGTTGTTTTGGAGCAAACTACCAGTGGTGCCCTGCCCTTCTACGCACGAGCATGGTTCTGATGCTTTCGTGAGGCAATGTGTATCTTGATGTCAAGCTTGCCGCCATGCGAAATGCTCACACATCACAGGTGCACATAGTACAGAATCTATACTTTTTAGCTTTCCGCGAAGCGACAAAACACTGCAACTCAGTCGCATATGATCTCAGAAATACTTGTAAGTACTTCTAGGCTTTTGAAAGTGTCATTGATCGTTCCAACAGATCAGTGGTTCCAACTAAACTCGGGGAAACACGAAGAGTAGTTCGGCGTTCCGCACCTCACTCAACGACCTGACAAAGCCAACTGAAGCCTAGCGCACCCATGGTCATATAAGCCGTGTTCCAAAGTACGCTCTAACTTTAGGAGTAGAGGTTTCGTACCTTGGCGAATGGCGTTTCAATAGAGAGTTTTCATAGACCGCGTTGCCCCCTCCGCTAAGGTTTCTACTGCGCCTGCGCGCCGATAGCCTTGACTGTGGAGTTCCCGCTATCGTAGCGGATTGCGGAGGGACTTGCGGGACGGCGAAATTGATCTACGAAAACTCCCTAATATCTACCCTCATTTTACGCTACTGCTCCGAGTTGTCACGTCGTAACCCGCCGGAGTAACCTAAACCTACTCTCGAGTAACTCGCAGTGACACACGCGTGATGATTATAGCAATAAAACGTCATAAAAAAAAAAATAAAAAAAACTATGGCAGATATTTTCCGGGAGTTTTCTGTCAATCGTACAACCGTACGAAATTGTCAAAATCCAGGAGTCTTCCAGGTAATCCGGGAGAGTTGGCAGGTATGTACTATGAAGGCTCTTGCTTGCAGCCTTAGTATGCCATTCGAGCGACGCAGGAGCGACGACACCGGGTGTGGGGCAAAGAGAGACGCAGTGCTACACAACGAGCGCCAGCAGCGGAGGGAAGCCGGTCGCAGCGAAGGGAACCGGCAGTTCAAGTGCCAGTTCGCAGACCGTGGTTTTGGGCGGGTGCAAGCGGAGGCACTCTAAGTGGCAGGCAGTTAGAATGCCTCTGCTCGGACACAGCGGGCACGACCCCCGCAGCCTTGCCCGCCTTGCGTGCATGCCCGAAGGAACCGAGGACACCCACCTTGAGTCTCTCTTTGACCTTTCGCTTCTGGCCCTTGGGCAGGGTGAGCTTGCAGTACAGCTCCAGCTTCTCCACGCCGGGCCAGGCCTCGGGGGTCAGGGACCCGCACAGCTGGCTGATCAGGCTGATCTGGTGCTGCTCTGTGTTGCCCTGGGAGCAGAAACAAACATGCATGATTTTTTCGGGACGAGTTGTCTCGTACTCCATTCACCCCCCAAAGCCGACGGTGCAGTGAACGCTATGTGCTCGTTGGAACGGTTGTAAGTCTATCTCTCACCATGTGATCACGCATTCTCCCACCTATTCCTGCACGCAGAAAGCGTGGTCGGGCGACGAAAGGGAGATGACCGACTAGACCGGCGAGCAAGTAGCTCTCGCCACACTGTCAGCTTAGAGATGAATGGAGTGTGGTGGACAATTTGGAACAAGCCTCGCAACCAGTCAAACTACACAACTTTCAACGTGATTAAAAAAAAACGGACATTACGAGAAAAAACTTGCGCAGACGATCACGCGACGTGATGCAAATCGACGGCGTTGGCTGGTGCGTTTCAATGATATTACGTTATGATTAGGCTGTATACTTTCCGGTTTTCACCGAAAAAGACAAATAAACATCCGCCGGTGTCGAAAAGAAAAAATCTGTTAAAACTGGAAAACACCGGTTTTACAATACTTTCGTACAAGCGGCAGTTTTTTGTTTTTTTTTAACTGAAAAAGGCTTGTGTACACGTTCCTCAAACTGATTCATATTTTTTTTCTTTACGGTCATCATTTAGATTTTCTAAGGTCTCTTAGTAATCGAGATGTGTTTTTTCTGTCAGTACTCATTACCTTGACCATCAGTTTATGTCCCTAAAAGTTTGTCCTCATTGTGCCCTTTTGTAGATAGCCTCGTTGAAGGTTGCCCTCCTCCTTTGTGGACCCTAGTTGGGGGTTTTGAGGCGTCTTTCATATTGTGCGGATCGAGGCGGCTTCCGGAAGCTGCATCCGCCAGACTGGCCAGTACTATCCAAAGGCTCTTCAGACATTTTGGGACTTCCCGCATCTATCGCAAATGTAGACCGCGCGCTCTCGAAATTTCCCGCAGTCAACAGGAAGGAGCGGGCGGGAAGGAGCATATACTACAGTAATGAGGTGTGAAGAATGTTGTGTATCGGATGTAAATGAAAACTTAACCGTTTCTAGTCTTGATTGTTTGTTTCTATTCGCGATTTTCTCCGTCGATAAAAGCCGTTTCAAGCATCTGCACGACACAATGCACCGAAATGCATCGGTATTCTGGTAATAAATAAATAATGAAAAACATCCACCAATTTTTACATAAATAAACGCCAGAAAGTATACAGCCTAGTTATGATTAAGAAGAAATTTTTCCGATGCTGCGTCGTGTGGTAATGTGACATTTCATTATTTTTTACCTCTTTACGTCGCGTGGTGATTGCTACGTGCCTATGCACAAACGCTGCGCTGGCACGTAGCACACACCTTGAAGGCAATCATGGCACCGTCCGGGTACAATGACCGAAGAACCTCGTGGCAAGCCACTGGCAGAAACACCGGGTGTTGCCTAAACCACAACCGATCAAACACGGAACAGCTAGCACCAAACGCGTTCTCGTGGACGCGATGCCCAAATTGCTTGGTTGCACCAAGGTGTACGTTATTCCCTCAATAATATTCTCTTCTACATGCCGCCCAGGGATGGGCAGTATTTCAAATACAAGTATTTGAAATACATATTTCAAATACTTTGTGTATTTTGCATCGGTATTTAATTATGAAATGAATAATGTATTTGACGCGTGTATTTAAATACTAAAACGTGGGTATTTCAAATACTATTGTAATTAAATACAATTTTGTGGGCGAAAATACATCCCTCAAATTTATTGACACTGTCCAGAGCAGGAAGAAAACGACGTTCTGCACCGAATGCAGTGTCTCTAATCAAGTACAAGCGTTTAGTGACTTCGTGATTACGGTGCTAGTCCAGGGCAAGAATAGTGACAAAATCGACGTTCACAGGCAGACTGGCTAAATAAGTGCCTGTGACAACTTGTGATGCTTTCCAGCCTGATTTCCATCCATATTTTTGCCTCAAACATTCTAAATACGGGGGTCGTTTAGATTTTTGTAACTGGTGCGAGTTGCAACAATAAAAAAATTCTCTATCTAGTGCTGCGCGTCTTGGTCGTCTCGGTTCTTTGTTGGTCTATACCAAAATGTAATCGACAAAAAAAAGCTGCTGCTTGAAGCTCTAGTTTTTTCACCTATTACGTCCAAGTTGATTACATTTTTTTGTGATTATATTTCTATAGCGTTACTAGAGCCTCACACACTAACTCCCGAGTGTGCGATGCAAAATTAAAATGAGATACCCAGAAACCCGTTGCAGGTGCCCTGAAGTCGCTGACGCAAATTTTGAGGAATGTGTTTGGAAAAGTATTGGAAGGAGACCAAATACATTTGGTTGTATTTGTATCTTGTACTTAAATGCTTTTTTGGAAATGTAATTAGATTTGTAATTAAATACATTTTTGACGAAGTATTCTGTATTTGTATTTCGATACATATTTGCATGTATTTTGCTCATCCCTGATGCCGCCTAACGTTCACGCACAGGATGATCTTGATGTCAAATGATGCATTCCATCCTAACACCCAGGGTAAGATCGTCGACGCCTACACATCGACAACATTCTCTCTCAATGGGCGCGTTGACAGCATCGAGCAGCCGCCGTTTGCTCCTGCAGCCCCACTTTTGCACGCATAGGCTTAGAGTGCCGAGGGGACAGGCAACCGAAGGCGGGAAAGAGCAGGTGGCGAGAAGGGCAATCACAAATACATCCCTCAAATTTATTGTCACTGTCCAGAGCAGTAAGAAAACTACGCTCTGCACCGAATGCAGTGTCTCTGAATCAAGCACAAGAGTTTAGTGACTTTGTGATTATGGTGGTAGTCCAGTGCAAGAATAGTGACGAAATCAACGTTCACAGGCAGACTGGGTAAATAAGTGCCTGTGACAACTTGTGATGCTTTCCAGCCTGATTTCCACCCATATTTTTGCCTGGAACATTCTAAATGCGCGAGTCGTCCAGATTTTCGTAACTGGTGCGTGTTGCAGCAATAAAAAATTCTCTAGCTAGTGCTGCGCGTCTTGGTCGTCTCGGTCCTTTGTTGGTCTATACCAAAATGTAATCGACAAAAAAAAAAAAAAGCTGCTTGCTCTGTACTTTTTTTACCTATTACGTCCAAGCTGATTACATTTTTGTTGTGGTTATATTTCTATTACGTTCCTAGTATAGAGTTATTATAATGTACGCTAGAGGTTTAAGTGGCGCTAGTGTGCTGATGCAAATGGACCTTTTCCACATACCGACGGCACCAGGCGGTGGCTGCACGAACTAAAAATCGAGGAAGTGACCTACCTGCGCTACCAATCGATAATGGGAGCTACGCTACCAGTTTCTTCGCTCTCTGAGCAGCGGCGCCTGCCCAACGCGACTTTCAAATGGGGAATCCGTGGCGTCCGCCGGGATTCCCCATTTGGGGAATCCCGGCGGGGGGGGGGGGGGGGGGGGGGGGGGGAAGGGGGGGGGGGGGTCGGTCACATGACCTTGCGGTTACGCCGACGGCGACGGCGCTCAAGCCGGAAACTGGCCCCTAAGAGCTGCGCTCTAAAAGGAAACCCAAATTAGAACTGTCCTCGAATTAAAAAAAACGCTGAAGTTTGCAGGAACAAATTGTCATCTGCAGCTTTATTTTGTGTTCACCCCAGAACATGGCCCCCACCGAACTGTCCATGAGGTTGCCTCTTTCTTCGAGAATCGCAACCCTTGCCTCCTCTCCTATCGGTTCCACATAGTTTCCCCAAGTACATTCAGGTTGTGTGCACATTCCGTGGATCTTGGGGACAATTTTCTCATCGACACGAAAAATCGTCATCGATAAATGCCGAATCTGCAGGAAAAAGAAACCCCAAAAATATATAAAAGTCAGAATGGTGACAAAGTGCGCAGAGCACGAGGCGTTTCCAATAAGTAACACCCGGGTTCGTCGCCACGGCAAGGGGTAAGCAAGCAGAAAGACCGACTCTTACTGCAAATGGTTCAATGGCAGCCAATTATAGCCGCCGACGAGGTGGGAATGGCAGAAAGGAGTTTTGGCTGCCCCGCCTTCAGTGCAAGCTTCCCATTTTCGAAACCGCTTCAACATCTTGTGCACCCCAAGCACGAGCGCGTGACAAAAGCATAATGAAAGGCAGGGCGTGCGGGTCGGAGGCCGGGCGTTCAAAAGATGCGCCCTGCCGTTCTCACTCTATCAAAGACTATGGGTGGTGTTGGTATTCAATGGGCGCAATAATTGAGCGCTGTATTCACGGCGAAAGCTCACGAGCCCCTACTCACCTCGAGAAGAACTACAACCTTGGTGGTGTGCAATGCCCATTTCGAAAGCTCGTTGTAAGCTCACACCGAGCAGCAACAAACTTAACTATGGGTTCCAGTGAATACCTACCACAGATATAACGTGCAAACCGATTCCTTGGTGTCGTCGTCTTGGCAGCCCTTACAATAACGTAGTTCCTGTTGCTTTTTCAAACTTTCTTTTCTCCTATTTCTTGCCGTCGAAAGTCACAGGAAGAGCGTCCACGCACCTGCATGATGGGCGAGCGCGTCCACATCTCGGCCATGATGCAGCCTGCGCCCCACATGTCCACGGGGGGCCCGTAGTTGCGTTCGCCCAGCAGCAGCTCAGGGGGCCGGTACCAGAGGGTCACCACCCGGTTGGTGTACCGGTTAGGCTGCCCCGTCTTGCTCAGGCTGAAGGCCCGCGCCAGCCCAAAGTCCGCCAGCTTCAGCACCCCGTTCTTGGTGATCAGGATGTTGGCCGCCTTCATGTCCCTGAGAAGCGCACGCACATTGTGGGACACTTTGGCAAGGAAAAGACTTGCATGTTTGCAAGAATTTTTAAAACTATGCGGCACTCGTATCCTCTTTCTAGGGCAAGTTTAGAGTGGGTCATGCTTTCTATGTGCTGCGTGCACAGGGTTGGCTTGAAAAGGGCTCATCCTCCGAAATTTGCAGCCCTAGGGAGTTGCCTACTTTGCCTATTGGGAAGTCCACCCTTGAGCCTCCTCTTTACCGAAATGAAAAGGAGGAATTTCTTCTTTTTTGACTATGCATCAGGCTTTAGGCCCGATAAGTCAATATCAAATTGGTTCAAAATTGCCACAAATGGGGACTGTAAGCTTTGGAAAATTCCCTTCTTTTATCTACACCCAGAAAACAGCCTGCTTGTTTCTGTGCACGGCAAAAGCACAGCATGAATGATATAACCATACCCGATTCGAACTGCTCTATGCACGCCCCGAACGTATGTCTTCTCAATACATGTCCGGCGCTCACCTGTGGAGGATCTTGTTGCTGTGGATGAAGTAGAGGCCATTGAGCAGCTGCTGCATCACCTTCTTGATCTCGCCCAGGGAGAACTTGACGTTGATGTTGCTCAGCAGCCCCGCCAGGTCGTGCTCGCAGAAGTCAAACACCAGGTAGAATGTCGCCTTGCACCGGTTGAAGGGTGTGGCTGAGGAAGGAAGATCCCGTGGTAAACGAAGTATATCGCCATATATAAAAAATAGGTGAATTTAGAACTGAAAACTTTTAATTAGGCAAACATCTACCTGCAAACTTAAAGGCATACTGCAACGAAAATTTAGCACCTATTTTATTCTCTAAATGTCAACCACGTTCTGGCCTGACCACGGAGACGCTAAATTTTTGCTTGGAAAGAAAATCCACCACTAAATAGTGCGTGCTCCGCGAACTCTCCACGTCGGGCGTATAGCCATTTCCAGTCGAGGTGCATGACGTTGTGTGTATAGCATCACTTTTTCTTTTATTATACCGTAAAGCGGGTTTCACATGCAGCGATTTTGGCCCTAAAGCGGCGCGATTTCTGCCGTCGCGGCGCTCGTGCCGCTCAATCACCAGTGCTGGCCAGAGCGCCGCGGCGGCAGAAATCGCGCCGCTCTAGGGCCAAAACCGCTGCATGTGAACCAGGCTTTAGCCTCACAACTGTCTGAAATAAGTACAAGGCAGAATGTCAGATAAACAGCCTTCATTTTATATTATCAGGCATGGTCCAGCCATTTTCGAGTTTGGAACAATTTTTGAAGCAGAAAAAATTTTGTTTTAGAGGATCTTTGATCAGAAAAAAAATCTCAATTTGGAGCAGATTTGGAGCGATGACACACATAGGTTTGGACCACTTTGGTGAAGTTCCCTATTAGTGAAGCCGACATGCATTCATGTAATCAGTTGCGTGATGCCCATTAAAACCCTAAGTTAGCAGTATGCTGTACTAGCCAAATTGCCCGTCGACTGCTGTGCCATAAACTTGGTCAAATTCGTGTTTTGTTTTCATTAGTGCTAGTGGACGAAGGTTAGCAGGATCGGTGTAAGCGTGCTATCACCATCAAGATGCTGATATAGAGTACCAATTTAACCATCTAATGAGTCTAAATAATAGAAATAGGTAAATTGGCACAATGCACTCTTCTCACGTGACACAAAAAGCAGCCTTGTTTGGAACTCATAACTCCTAAAGACAACACGCTTTGTCACAAACATACAAACATTTTATTTATGAAAACACTTCCTGACGACCTCTCACTATGGAAACATTCAGGATGCTGGCATGTTCAGCATGTTCAGGATGATTTCCTTTGCTTTTTCTCGGTTGCGATAGCGATCTGGTTGCCTAAAAAAGCCAAGTTGGTAGACAAACACTCAATCAAGAAAAATCAATGGATGTTTTTTGTAGTTTATTCAGTCTCCAAAAATCTGTGCTTCCCCATGAGGAAGGCAAGCTGCTGTTGCTTCTTTTGCAAGATTCAACCGAAAGCGTCCGCCAGTGCAGTTTCATACACCCGTCCAGTTCTGACTCAAATAGGACAAAGACATCCATCAGTGGTGATTGAATGACTGACCTAACTTTCATGCCACTCTAATCCAAAGTCCATGATTCCAGTGATTCAGGACTGGCAAATTGTTTGTGTCTAGGTAACACTATGCACCCAACAAACGTCCAAGGAAGAAGGGTTGGAACAAAAGCCATCCTCACTTGCAGCAAAAATTTTGACATATCAGTGTTTACGGCCTAATTATGTACTACTAATATAACCATCTTTTGCTTTGCACCTCAATCTTTTATGATGTTTTCGAGAAGACCAAGGTACCAGCTGCTACAAAATGGCGACTTTGGCAACTGACAACACGCTTGACTACCAACTCGACAGCGTCTTTGTTCTAGTCAAATCTATGTCTTTCTTTTCCTATGCAATCTGCCTATCTTGACTGCTCTCTGATGGCCTGAGACATGTCTAAAGAAAGAACGGAAGCCCCAGAATGCCACCTACCTTTCGTGCGACAGATCTCGATCAGGTTCACCACGTTCTCGTGCTTGAGCAGCTGGAGGATCTTGATCTCTCGCAAAGCAGTGATGGGGAACTGAAATAAATAAAATAAAAGCCAGACTTGCTTTATGCACTGTTTGAAGATTCGAAGCTACTTTTGCAGATGAATTGTGTGCCCATGGACGCAGAGTTGGTTAGTTAAAATTGTAAAGGAAGGATGTTTTAGTCCAATTTTACGAAGATCAGATAGCATTCTCAATGCCATTTAAAGACATAAAAGCACGATATGAACGCCCAACTTTGTGTCTGAATAGAGGGAGAAAATTTAATTTAATTATGATATTAAAATGTAGCTAATCCGAGTTTTGGCAATTGCTGGTTTAAACGCAGGTCTCTGTTACCGGTGTTTCCACGTCAAGACGCTGGGTAAACAAAAAGTGGATATATTGCCATAAAAAAACAGTGAGTGCGCAGGTGAGCTGGTGGAAGTTGATCATGTTGTGGAATACCCGAGACTGTGGTAAAAGCTGAGAAACTTGGTCGAAGAAAAAAGATAGGAGAAGAGAATGTCTCAAACTCAGCTACTGCATTTATTTCCTCAAAGCCTCATATATCCAAAACCTAATCACCGACGTCACAAAGTCAACCTTTGTTGTACAATCCTAACCACACTGGTCTTCACCACGACCGTAAACGGTGACCTCAATCCCAAACTGAAAACTTGAAACCTAGAACAAAACAAACACTGACCCTCTTCCTTTCCAGCCAGAGTGTGAAAGGGCTGTGCTTCATCTAACCGAGAACTGATATGTACTCCACTGAACCCCTGCCTGCAAAATAACTCGTTGCACGTTCACTTACAAAAAAAAAAAGTTGAGAAAAACTGTACATTTTAAGAAACTTCTTGGAAATACTTCTGGGTTGCATCGAAGCATGGCTGATACAGTTACCGATGGATGTGATACAAACTGTCTCTCTTATGAGCCTCTTAGTGTTGTTCGCTCTCTCTGCACAATGTCAGTTTGCGACCAAAGTGACGTACAATCGTTGCACTCACTAACATGTTTAGCAATCTCTGAATTGAGTGCGCTTAATTTTACATTTCTTTTGTGCTCTGCTAATCTACCATTTACACACCTTGTCGTTTGACCCACACACTTGAAACCGCATTCCAGTAGTATTTCATAGACCATTTTCCTTGCAATCAACTGACTTATCACAGTGCGCTTTCTGACACACTTTCTGACTCGTCTGAAACGGCGTCAAACGGTTCAGTTTAAAGTCGGACCTGAACGTCACATCTATCCCAAATATCTTTGCGCATGCTTTAATGGTTGTGAGAAATTGCGTGAAAATATGGAATAACCGCATAATGCTTTTTCGCTTCCTTTGCTGGTCCTTGTTTAGCCTTTTGCTGCAATTCTAAGTGTCTTTTCATGAACCCACTGCCATAGCTTACATCTTCTAACCTTGACCACTGCCTTTCTACCGCACAACCCACAAAATGGGCACACGACTTGTCCAGTATTTTGCTGATTAGAAATTTGACTACACCTGCTTTCACTGATTTAGCACGACAACGTTTCCTACTCAAAACGGATTTTGTGATCATTTTTCCATACTCCTAAAATAAACCCTCCTCCACGTGAATGCGTAGGTCCAGAAACTGTAGAATACCATTGCCCGCCTTTTCTAAAGTGAACTTAAGTTTCGGCACCGCTCCCCTCACTGTATTTCATAGAGTATGAGCTTTGTAAGAAGATATGTCGAAGACATATTGATCTGCTCATTTCGTGAAGAGGATGTACTTGACTTGGAACAGACAGTGAGGGAAGCGGCGTCGGAACTTAGTTCACCTGCGGCATCTCCTGAGAAGTGGGGTCGACGCTTGCCTCACAACAATTCCGCCACGCAGATGCTTTATGCGGTTTGATTATTGGGCAATGGGCATACCTCAGCAAACTTTACTCATGAGGGCCCTCACTCACTTGAATTTTCACAGGTGAGGTGAGGGAGTCTCTCAACCCCAGAAATTCATGAGTGCAAGGGAAAACCGTGAGGATTGCGAGGGGTGTGAGGACCACGAGTGCGTGAGGGGCATGAGGTTCAAAGAGGGTGAGCGAAGTGCTGAAGATAAGTGTGACAGTGAGCGTAAGAGAGGGACTAGGGTGACTCTAGCTATGAGGGTGAGTGAGAGGCTGAGGTGACTGAGGGAGACCTGCCCCAGAGATACACGCGAAAATATAACGCCCGCGAAAATGCGCGGTGATACCTGCAAAAATATGCCGGCAGTATAGCCACGTGGCTGCAGCCAGCCAATGGGTGGAAACAGCCGGCATTTTTTCGCCCAGGCTCCTTTGAGGGCCAAAACCTTCAAAGTTCGCTGTGACGATTGCATCATGGCATGCAACGACACGGCAAAGGTTTCAAACATGCTTCACGCTTGACCGAAATACGACTTAAACACACTTACCCCCTCCTTCTCGTTTTCCATGAGGACTTTTTTGAGTGCCACCAATTTCTTCGTTTGCTTGTGTCCCGCCTTGAACACTTCCCTGAAATATGAAGACACCGTGGTCCGCGGTTAGTGCAGCACTCCTCGCCGTACAACTTTGGCTGCTGCCGACGTGTTCCTGCCATCTGTTAAGATTAAGAAATAGCCGTGGATGTACTTTAAGGACCCTAACAGTTCGTACATGTAGGGACAGGTAAGGGAATACGCAGACACCGGCGCTTGCGGCAAACTAACGCTCCGGTGACCCTAGCCTTGGGAGCTATGGATTTCGAGCATTGCACTCACCCGAAGGTTCCTTGCCCGATCTTTGCGATTTTGTCGTATTTGGCGACATCGTCACAGTACGGGAAATCAAAATCTTCGAGCTTATTTACGAGTTGCTGCTGTTGACTGCTTGCGTTAGAGCTCATATTGCATCTTGTTTGTAGGTTTGGAGCTTGGAGCAGGATGGCAAACCGGACCGCACAAACTAAACAAATTATTTAAATAATTTTATTATATATTTGGTATATACACATTTTTAAAACATCTAAACATATCATACTAAAAATAAATTAAATTTTAATAGCGAAACGTGTTTCGTAATTAAAACGATTACTTGTTCTCTGCAGTCCTACACAAGCTGTCATGGCGCGCTCCTCCTTCGGAAATCGTCGCAGAAACGTCGTAACTACAGTAGTCGTAACGTCATAAAATCGGAAGTCGCGGCTCTTCCATTTGTCCGGTCTAATCTCGCTTTCAAGATGCCGAAAGTAGTCTCTAGGAGCATTGTGTGTTCCGACACCAAGGATCAAGAAGAGTACAACGAGGAAAAGCCTCTGAATGTGTACTATTGCATATGTGGTAGTATGGCGATGATCTTGGGTTCGTACGATTCAAACATCGCACTCCTTTAAAACAATCTGGCAAACTCTAGCCAGGTGCGGACATTCAGATGTGTTTATTTAAATTACAGATTGTGCGATTGAGAAGCTTCCTCTTCGTCCCAGAGACGGCGCGAGGGTGATCGACGGAGCCAAGCACGCTCACAAGTTGTCGTTCAGCCCGGATGAAGTCATTCACCTGAAGAGGTGAGGATAGGCGCCAGTGGTGCGCTGACAACGTTATCACTTCCTGGAAAAATAAAAAATAAAATGTGACTTGCAATTTTCAGACCAGAGGGCATCGAACGCCAGTACAGGAAGAAGTGCAAAAAGTGAGTGTTCTCAGTTATCGAAGCCGTAATATTTTGATACAGCAAAAGGTAATCTAGTAACTCGGGCTCTCGATGAATCAAAGACAATAAATAGAGGCAGCGTCTGTCTACCGGCAGTCGCCTCCCATTGGCTGTCTGGAGTCATATGACAACTGCCGGTAGATTAATGACTTACACTCCGCGCATTTTGGAAACACATTTCAGTGACAGCTTTTTGTGGATACAAGTTTCATGGACACATGTTTCATCGACGTCTCTTCGACACTCGTTACGCGAATTGCACGCTGTAAGGACGTCTCGTCGCGCGTGTATCACAAGCGCATGTTAACCTGCCCGGCCCACCCGTTCACGCCACTTCGTGGCGACAGTCTGCGGCAGCTTATTACAAAAATGTTAACCCACCTGGCCTAGAGTAACTGTATAGGCTCTGTTTGCAGAATTAGAGTATCGCATTCTTTTTCCTTTCGATGCCAGCTCCTCATTGGCGGGGAAGCAGTCTCTTGCGCCGAGCTGGATCCAACTTTCGTACGGGAAAGTGACCTTGCAGGTGCCAAGTTTTGAGCAGAGCATGTTTCTCGCTTTGCGTTTGCAAAATATAGATCCTAGACTAAAATCGAACAAACTGGAAGGTTCCTTGACCATTAAACACTATGCATAGCCGCAGGGTACAATATAATCGCATTGTTTTTTAATGCGAGTAACGTTTCCAAAGTCTGGGAAGCAGATGACACGGAGGACGATCGCGTGGCTTGCGTCTGTGGCGCTCGCGGAGTAGTACGCGACCGGCATATTCGGGCACTTCGGACCAGACAACGACAATTTGCGAAGGGATGACATTTTTATCGGCCACTACTGTCTACCAAGGGCTTAAAGAGAAACAGGAAACAAATGACAGGACGACGACGCAAGCGCAGTGTGTCGCCACACTATATTTTCTCTGCTATGCACGCCACAGTATGCCGCCTCATAGCCGCTCCTCCGGGTCTCCTGCAGAAGCGAGGGTTGCTTCTTGCAGTGTGACCTTAAATCCAACATGGCTGCCCTGGGAGCGTCATTGCAATATTCTGCTTCGCAAGCGGAGCATCTGCAGTTAGTCTACCCTGGCCCACCCATATACACCGCCTTGCGGCGACAATCTGGGGGGGCTTAGTACAGAAGAAAGATAATCTGAGGCGTAGATGGGCCAATAGGAGGCGAGTATCGGTAGAAGTTTGGAGAAATTATCTTCCCGGCTGCCGGGAGACTAGACAGTACCATAAATAAATAAATAAATCTTTACTTGTACAGAAAAAGATGGGAACATGAAAGGCGTGTGTGGCTCTCAGATTGGTTACATTTGCAGAAAAGCTTTAATGATATTCAAGCAAAAGGAGTATCATGGCAACTATAAGTAAAAAGAGTTACAAATATAAGGGGGGGGGGGGTGCAAAAATATTCAAATAATCCAGATCCTTGTGGACCGTCACCTAATCGACGCCCGATCGGGACGTGCTTCGCTCTCTCCCCAAAAAGTCGCCCAACACAGTGCATGATCAAAACAGTTTACTGAACTCGCGTTGCTCGTTGTCACTCTGTGGTCGTCGTCGTCGTCCCGCTCGCCTCCGTGATTCGTTGCTTCCAAAGTCGGCAGCATTAGAGAGCCTCCCTTTGTCCCGCTTCCCCTTTTGAGACTTTCCTAGCTTTGTCCCTTTAACCGTCCAATCGGGCACCTTAGCGCTGGCCGGCCATCCGACGTCAGCGCTGAGTGAGGGGGTGCTTGCCACGTCCCTCCCGGATGGCTTTGAACATTCCCCAACAGGATGGCGGCAGGAAGCGGGGAAGTCATGGGGAACTAGGGAACGGGGAGATGTTCTTTGCATCCTCAAGCTTAATACTTTGAATATGGATGGCCAGACTCACTGGCAAAAGAGGTTTGTAAACATGTGAAAGCAAATACAGGAATGCATAGTAAGGAAATTTGTTAGTACTGATACAGTAATACCTAGTCAAAATATCCCAATATGTATCGGAAGTGTATGTACAAGAGTAGTTGAGTTGCATTTGAAAATGATACAAATATGTCAATAGGTTCTGTGGGTGGAAAGAAGTACTACCGTAAAATACTCGGCGTCCGCCCATTCCACAGGTGACCATCCTTAAATGTTGTAACATCTGAAAACATATGTGCAGTACGAATATAAATGAAAGTTGTGACCTAACAAGCGCCCATCCCTTTGTTTCTTGCTATTATCTCCAAATTTTGAGTGGGCGCTTGATCGGTGCTTTACGATAATACTGAAATATATATGTGCTACAAATACATTGTAATCTAGTTTGTGCTATTATTTGGTAGAAATGAATCATTGAACGCAGATAATTTAGGAGGCATTTTGTAGATATTGGGCATGTGCTCAATTAAAAATGAATCAGTTGTGTTTTCTGATTGGCTTTCACCAAACAAACCAACATAATGGAAACAGAAGACAAGTCAGTCGGAAGTTTTCCTCAAATAGTGAAAAGAAAACAGTCAGCCCATCGGTTTATTATTGTTTGACAGGGAGAGGAATTGATTCACAAAATTTTCTAGCTAAATACACTGGTTTCATATTGCATCATTATTAATGGGATATATTCAAGAATGCCTTTCAATACAGGAATCCAGCTGCAGTTGGTGCATTGTATTAAGGTGGCACATGAACACAAATACTAGATGTATTTTTTGGGGAATACTATCACTCTCTACTTGTACTGCAATACTGCCCAACCCTGTTCCTATGCTATATCTTTCTCCCCACTAAACTTTTCTTCATCAAATATGACACACGCTATATAAATATTTTTTGCAATTATGTAATACTTGTGTCGTATAATCTGCACCCATCCACCATATATTTTGTGAGTTGTCTACCACAATGAAAGCAGACTTAGCTGATTGAAGCAGGGAAGGGGCAGTCGATGCCCCTCGACACAGCATCTTTCGGCTCCAAATGTCTTAGCGAAGCTGAGGCACGATTTGAAGCACTGACGCTTGCATCCCGTTTCTCGGCAGATGCGACCTGCTACTCTTTTATCAGCACGACGCCAAGAGCAACGTCACTTTTGTGGTGAAGGGGTCAGTGTTCAGAGCGGGAGAGGGCCCACTCAAGGCCGGCGTGCTCCTCCAGGCAGCAGTTGAGCCCAAGAAGGTACCCCCAGTTTTTCTATTTCAAAGTCGCTGTGGTATCGGTGATGTCACGTGGCATCACGACGTGACACTGGAAGTTACGGGACACTGTAACGTCATGTAGGATCAAGTGGTATCACACGACAGTGCTTTACATGATGTAACATCATTGGATATCACATTATATCACATGACACTGCCTCAGATGACATGACATCACATGACCCTGCTTCACCTGATGTGACATCCCTTGGTATCACATGACACTGGTTCACATGACGGGATGTCACGCGACAGTGGCATAGCACCACGCACGTGACCATTCTACGTAAGATGCGTACAATGAGCTCAGAAAAGGTTATAAATATGTCACCCAGTGCAGCTCAGAACACACTTCATTTGTGCGGTTAACATGTACCTTTTTGGTATTTTTTGTGTGACATGCTCGATAATGTCAGAACACCCCCCATTTAAATTTTGGTGTTTTTACCGAGAAAGCAGCAGCAACCGAAACCAGATCAAAGGAGTGTGATCTTACAGACCCGTGAAGCCAATTAGGTGGTGTCAGTCTATGCACCTGTTTTCTTATGTCAGTGTGCTTTCACTGTTTCATCAGGCATAAAACTTGTATATCTTTATGGATTTCCTTATTTCTGTCAATCAAGATCAGCCTCGTATGGCTTATTACTAGAAATGTGTGAATATCAAGATCTTTCGAATCGAATCGAATAATATAGTTTACGAATCGAATAGAATATTTTCGAATACGAATAGTAGTTTCGAACAAGAACATTTTTGAAAACAAATCGTTTCTATTTGATCTGAATCAAACAAGAATGCTCAATCAAAACACAACAAATTTTTTTTCAACAAACATTTATGAAAAGTTTATTTTTATTGCAATAAGAAAAATTTCACACATGTGACTGATAAAAAAACAGATGAAATAAAAAATTGGTCAGTAAAACACCATTCATAGAGTGAAATTATAGAATGCAAATGAGAGTACACAAGTGGTGGCAGGTCGGCAAGCCACAACGCAGTCGGAGACCACGTGGCAGATGAACGCAAACACGTGAATGTAAACGAGAGTAGACAAGTGGTGGGCGGGTTGGCGAGCCACAATACGAAGTCGAAGATCACGTCGCGCAGCTGCACCGACTTTGTGCAGTCTCTTCTTGCGCGGGTGTACACAACCATGTGAACATAAACGGAAGTACACAAGCTGAGGCGGGCTGGACTGGGCGGATCGGCAGGCCACAGCAGAGTTGGAAATCATCCGATTGCGCCGCGCAGCCGCACTGACTTTGCTCCATCTCTTTCCGTGTGCGATAGTTCTGCCGATAGAGGGCGCCACAAAGAAGCAGTAAACTAATATGTTTTTCTTTTTCGGCGGAGAGAGCAAGTCTCACTTTCACCAGTAAAAACGGGTAGAAATACAGTAAAACCTCGTTATAACAAAGTTGAAGGAGTGATCATAATTATTTCATTATAGCCATTAGTTTGTTATAGCTAGGGTTCGGAGTTTTCGGTTTAAACCGATAAAAACCGATAAAAGTACGCCGAATCCATTTTCGGAAATTCGGTTTTAATCGAAAAAGGTCAGTTTTAGGTTCGGCATTTTCGATTTAAACCGATAGAAGTACGTCGAATCTATTTTCCCAAAATCAGATTTTAATCGGGAAAGGTCAGTTTGACCTTCCAGTCGTACCGCAGAGCCGTGGCGAAAAAGTGGAAAGACTGTCTATCGAAACGTGTCCCGATGTATCGGATACACGGATGCCATCACGACGTTTTGGTTTAATGTGCGCATCATCGATCGGAACGTGAAGTCCGAAATGCCCCATGACTTCGCCATGTACGAGCGTGTTTTCACACTCGTTGTAAGGAACACTGACTTTATGCAAGCTCTGCATGTTGTGTTGTGCTTCAAAACGTCGCACTGTGTCTCTTTTGGCGGTCACAATTGGTTGATTGGCCGATTTTGGCTTAGGCAGCGCTTCGTCTCCTCAGCATCTCAGTGCCCAGTGTTAGCGCTAAGAGGGCATTCTCAGGGTAATATTAACAGGAAAGAAAGAGTGCGGACCAATGAGGAGAACCTGGGAAAGTACATGTGCGTGTACTATAAAAAGATCACGTAGTCCTGATGTACAGAAGGTGAAGTTGGATGTTTTTTAGGCATAGGGCTTCATATCTGACTTGTTTGTATTTCTGTGTTTTTTTTTTCTTGTTTCTTTTACAGTTACACACATTTGCCAAATAAAGTGTTCATTTTCTTTTTACAATATATCTGTGCTGTTATTCTTTGAATGATTACAATTATCAGAGCTGCAAGGGTCATCTGATTCGGCGTCCGTTGGTGTTTATTTTATATTCACCGAAAAAAGCCGATAAACTTTTGTGGGCATAAATATACACCGAAAAAAACCGAAAATTGAATTTTAAAATAAACACCGAAAAAAGTACGCCGAATTTGGAAAAAATAGAAACCGAAAACGCGGAACCCTAGTTATAGCCAATGTCCATTTCTTCCCTAATAGCAAGCAAGGGGCATTATGATTGCTTTGTTATATCTATTAATTTGTTATACCCCATTTTGTTATAACGAGGTTTTACTGTAAACAGCAAAAGGAATACTGGCAAACTGATGAACCGGAAAATAACACGGGCCAGATATCCCGATAGCCAAAATCGGCCGTAAATCCATATTCGAATCCATAACACCTCGGCTACTGTAGTGACTGTAGGAAGGACTGTAGCACTGATCTCAATGACAATTGAGATCTTGCTCTTGCTCGTAGAGGATTTGCGGTTTTGCTAGCGTTACAGAGGCTGGCAGAAGCGTGCTGAAGACACGTTTTCTACTCGTTCGTCGTCATTCGCTGAAGAAGAGTTTTAAGACCTTGTGTAAGGGTTGAGATTTGCCGTTGAGAACACCTGGAAATTTTCATGAAAGCGCAGTGCAGCAGGAAAAAGCCACAAAAAATAAAGATTTTGTACTACTGATTTGGTTGCCATAAGCATCCAGTAAACAAAACAAAAAAACGCGCCGCTGATGCCGTCCCCTTCCCCCCCTTTTTCATCGGCACTGGACAATGGATCAAGCTCATTTTTGGACCGCGAGTGCAGCAAGTCACAAATACAGTCGGAGTAAAAGTTAAACGGTGCCCAGAGGTACACACGGCTTCACATACATTGCACTCGCAAAACACATGCACACAGTGCCGAAATGAATCTTGGTCTGTATCCAAGCATGCGAAGGCACAGAGACGCAGCACTTAGGCGTGCCTAGGAAGCTTTGATCAGGCCGCGAGACCGGTGACTCTTTCTTTCGACGAGTTGTGCTTTTACATACGGCTTCACGCACATTGCACTTGCAAAATACATGCACATGGCGTCGATTCTTGTTCGGTATTCAAACGTGCGAAGGCAGACAGATGCCGCACTTCGGCGTGACAAGGAAGCTTTGACCCCGCCGCGAGACCGGCGAAATTTACTTTCGACGAGTTGTGCCTTTTTTCTGCGGCACTGCGCTTTCGTAAAATTTTCTATGTGTTCACAACGGTTACACAGAGTCTTAAAAAACTTCTTCGGCAGATGCCGACGAACGAGTAGAAAACGTATCTATAGCACGCTGGCAAACCGCTGCAAAACGCTAGCAAAACCGCAAACCTTCTACTAGCAAGGTGGCCGTCTGGTGGCTTCACTCGCGCTGCAGCGAACAGGCGGGGAAGCGCGATCCAGCAATGGTCATTGAGATCAGTGGACTGTAGTGAGTGGAGTCCTTGATCACTTGCAGAACACTTGACATGTATATCAGGAGACGTTAGGGAAATCGGCACTAACAAGGAAATAATTATCTTGCGGACAGGAATGCACATTGGGAAGACTTTGATGGACACATGGATACAACAGGGAAAAAGTTAGAGTAGTTCTGCGAAGCTCTTGATCTGGTATTGGTTAATGCTGACGTGAAATGTGATGGAAAAATAACATGGGAAAGAAAGAACTCGCTCTCGACTATTGACTACTGTTTAATGTCGCGTAAGATATACCGTATTTACTCGCAGAATGAACGCACTTTTTTTTCCGAAAAATCGATGCAAAGTTAGGGGGGGCGTTCATTACGCGAAGTAAAATTTTTGCGTCGTTTATTTACTCGCATAATGAACGGACCTTTTATCCTGAAAAATGGAAGTAACTTCTTAGCTCTCTGCGCGTGGCGCCCGACCCCTTAACCAAACTAAGCTGTGCAAAAAAAAAAAAAAAATCCTCTTTGTTTTATTTTTTTAGTTCCTTGGTTTTTTTTTCCCGCCTTTCGCAAGCTGTTTTCTTTGCTTAGGCGTTGCTTAGGCGAGGGCTCTCCGCTTATCTTTCTTATCTCCTTGCGCGCGGCGCTCGACCCCCCGTAACAAACTGCGCTGTGCCAAAAAAGAAAAAAAAAGCTCCTTTTTTTTCTTGTTTATTTTCTCGGTTCCGTGTTTTTTTTTTTTTCTTTTTGCCGTTTTTTGCAAGCTGTTTCGTTTGCTTGAAGGGCTTCTCCGCTCCTTGTTTGTTAACTCCTTTCGCGCGGTGCGCGACCCCCGGTAACCAAACTAGGCTGTAAAAAAAGAAAAAAAAAAAAAAGCTCCTCTTTGTTTTTGTTTTTTCTTAGTTCCTTGGGTTTCTTTCAGTGTTGCCAACTCAAAAATTAAAAACCCGCGGTCGGAATCCCGAAAACCGCTAAAAAAACCGCTAAATCCAAAACACAGCGCAAAACGACTTTTTAGACACTTTTTTTTTGCTTTAATTCTTGACAAAGGTATAATAGCAGTATAGATCATATCAATGCCATCTGAAAGGAAGCTTTCCTTTTGTTTTAACTAAAAATTTGTCACGCCACACCACAGTTCACCCGGGTGATCCGAAGTCGAAATTGCAGAGTGAGCCCATACGAACATGGCAAGGGACCCTTCAGCAGTGCGTGACTAGTGAGATCCGATCAACTCGTAGAGTCGTCTGCTACCAGAGGAGAAAGGTGCA